ATATCATATCAATTATAACAAGCTACATTATTACATTTGTACATAAATGCAGTGACAGTTGTGAAAAGCTGTCGGAAATTATGGTTTCCCAATCGACTGATCGCCGGCCTCCTTCGCCGCAGACAATCTGTCACTTGATACGCGCTAAGCCACCATTACCATCATTACCTTTACCGTTAGCGTTACCTTGTTGAGATTCCCCACTAAACACTAAATACTAAATACACAGGCACACTTTTGTATTCTGTATTCTGTATTCTCCATTCTGTATTTTGTACGGGCGCTGACCAGCGAAGCATTCGCATTCGAAGAACGAAGAGAAGATGCCATAGAAGTGCCCACCTCAGTTGCCGGGAAAAATGTTATTTAATTTTTGTAACGCCCCCGGGTTGGAAATCATGGGGGATGAAACACCTTACCACTGATTGTGGCACTTGCAGTTGCAATTCCAGTTGCAGTTGCAGTTGCATATCTCCATTCGGATCATATTTCGCCCAGCGGGACTTTGGCTTCTGGTCAAGAACCCCGGGGGCTACAAACATATATATATATATGCATAGAGAGAGAGGAAACCTGCCTCAATGTCTGGCTTTCGATTTTTTGGGATTCGCTTTCCACCCAAAGCAGCGCCGGAAAGTAGGCAGCCTTTTATTTCTTCTGCAGCTCTGCGACTGGGACACACACTAATGCGCCCCTAATAATATTACACACACATCTAAGTCTTCGGCCAGCACACGTACGGTGAGTACTTAAACAAGCTCAAACAATGGGGATGTTCTGGTCGCTATTCGCTATAAAAGGTGAACGCCGCACCGAACAATGTCTCAGTTAAACAGCGTTAATTAAGCGACAACCAGCGGACAAGCTACACATCCTACTATCGAAAAAAAACTAACTAATATCCCCACCTTTTTTTTCAAGTGCTCTCAGGATCCACAGAATTATAGAATTTTTTTATTTTCTACCGTGATTGTATATATCAGTGCCCAGGATATATATGGTAATCGTAAATAAATACAAAAAAAAAAAAAGACAAGACAATTGAAAATCAATATGCCATAGAGGGACTCAAGTCATAAACTATATACCTGCATATATTATTCAAAAACGTGGCAGGACCCCTAGTAAGTTGTAGCCTGGAATTTCGACCATATGTCGCTGGCACATCATCATCATTTATTCAGCACTCGGTTCGGCAATGTCCGTTCAACCGTAATCCCTACAGCAAGTCATCTTTGGGCGATATACGATTCGAGTAGCATATAGCGAATAACGAATAGTGAGTGTGATTCACCGACTGCGTCGCGAACCGAAAGGTACTTATTGCAGCTGCTGGCCACTGCACAAGATTAGACTTAAGACTCTTGTGCGTGTGACAGCGGCTATTGTAAGAGGCCATAGAAGCAACAGAACAGAACGGAACCGAATCATCCAATAATCGAGGCTCCATCCTGCTGTTCGTCCACCTTCCATTCACCACGAGCAGAAGCCCTAGAGGCCTAATGCAATTATTACATTTACAACATTTACAACAAGCGAATAGAAACAATCTAAAATCTAACAAATACCCAAGCGAGTTATCTGAAGTCACAGTGTCCCATTTATAGGAACCACAAAGTAAGATCTAAATGTATACAATTCAGGTAATTTAAAAACTATGTATATTCTGGAAACCAAAGTATTTTTTTGGGTCAATCTCAAATCATCAATCCGAAAATCGTCGGTAATATCAGAGACTTTCCGATAAATACTTCACTTTTAGTAATATACAATAAAAAAAGACTACTGCTCAAAGTTATACCATTAAAATTTAAGTTTATTCATTGTTATTAAAAAGGCTGATTTGAAGCTTATTTTTGGTCATAACAATGGAAATAATGATCGAAATATGGAGTGTCGTACCTTGTTGAACTCGTGATTTAATTCCCAACCGATTGGCATTCAAACCCAGAAATTTTCAAATTTTGTCGTTTTTCACAAAAAATTGTGATGTTACCCCTTATCAAAAAAGCGAAAATTTATCAAAAAATAAATTTTCCTGAAAGTGATGGGATTCGTTAGTATCGGTCGTTAACTGTTCAAAACAGTCGGTCTTTTTGCTGTGGGCCTTAAACTGTCCAAGCTACGACAAAAAAACCGTTTAAAAATGTTGTTTTCGTCGAAAGTTTAAATCCACAATTTCCTCCCTAAAATATCAGTTTTTTTGCCGTAACTATGGAAATAATGCTCCAAATATGGAAAGTCGTACCTCGTTGAACTCGGTATTTAATTCGTAATCGATTGGCATTCAAACCTAGAAATTTTAAAATTTTTTCATTTTTCGCTAAAAATTGTGATGTTACCCCTTATAAAAAATGTGAAAATTTATAAAAAAATAAATTTCCCTGAAAGTGATGGGATTCGTTAGTATAGGTCGTAAGCTGTTCAAAACAGTTGGTCTTTTAGCTGTAGGACTTGAATTGTCCAAGCTACGACTAAAAAACCATACAAAAATGATTATTTTCGTCGAAAATTGGAATCCATATTTTCCACCCAAAAATATCAGTTTTTTGGCCATAAAAATGGAAATATTGCTCCAAATATGGAATGTCGTACCTCGTTGAACTCGTTATTTAATTCGTAATCGATTGGCATTCAAACCTAGAAATTTTCAAATTTTTTCATTTTTCGCCAAAAATTGTGATTATCAAAAATGTGAAAATTTATCAAAAATTAAATTTCCCTGAAAGTGATGGGATTAGTTAGTATAGGTCGTTAGCTGTTCAAAACAGTCTTTTTGCTGTGGGCATTGAATTGTCCAAGCTACGACTAAAAAACCATAAAAAAAAAGATTATTTTCGTCGAACATTGGAATCCATAGTTTCCACCCTAAAATATCAGTTTTTTGGCCGTAACAATGGAAATAATGATCCAAATATGGAGTGTCATACCTCGATGAGCTCGTAATTAAACTACCAATCGATTGGCATTCAAACTTAGAAATTTTCAAAATTTGACATTTTTTAAAAAAAATTGTGATGTTACCCCTTATCAATGATCCGAAAATTTATAAAAAAATAAATTTTTCTAAATCAGTCCGAAAAGTGATGGGGATCAATTCATAAGGTTGTAAGCTGTTCAAAGCAGTAATTATGTTTGATTTAGGACCATTTTTGGACAAACTACAGCAAAAAACAGTTGAAAAAATCCTACCTTTATCAAAAGCGCAGATCCTGATTTTCTGATTTTTCAGATCCTGCTACAAAAGCTTAAACCACATTCATACCCTTATAGACTCGTTCCCATACCAAAGTAACCTTGAATATTTTTTAAATTTTTATTTTCACTAATTTTTGCAACATTTCATCTTTAATTATACATACATAGTTTCTCATAATTTTTACAGCTTTTTTTATATATATTTTTTTATTCCACAATATGGTATTTTTTGTCATTTTCTTTCAATTCGAACAACTTTTAACTTTTTACATCAATTTAATTTCAATGAGTTTTCCATTTAGTTTTATTTATAAATATAATTGTTTTCTGTATTTACTGTTGTTTTAAGAATATAGAGAATGCTGAAAACGGAAACATGGTAAAAAGGGTCCAACGCCTTCGTAGCGGGGGCGTGGCAAGTCGAGTTTTGGGTGTGTTTGTTTAACACGTGTTTAGCGTGCCTAATTTTCTGTGTGTTTTTGTGGGCGGGCTAGGAAACCATGGACAAAACTGTTCTCTTATATACAACGATTCGAGGAGGAGGTTCCGAGGATCCGAGTACTTAAGGATCCCCCACTTCCTCCTCATTAACTATACATTTCTCGTCTATATAACTCAGTGTGTTGTGTGTTTCGGGTATCGGTATGTTCTTCGATTTGTGCTGGAGCTCAAAGTTCACTTGGATTCTGAATTCTCGATCCACCCGGCTCCCTTTAACATTTACAATATTCGAGAGGCCATTACGAACTAAGAACAAAGCTTATCCGATCGAATCGCAAACGAGTGTGTATTTCCGTTCCATATATGCTAGGCACAATTGTTTATTGAACAGAAAATAGAAAACAGAATGGGAAGAGGCAAAAATCAATTAAATAAGGGCTTAACAAACTGGAAGAAGTCCTTGTCGAAATTCAAAATTCAAAATCGAACTGGGGCTGAGATTGCAACTAAAGAACAATAACGCTAACTTGAACTTGAAGCCCGAACGGGAGCGGGTTTAAAAATCGGGGTTTAAAGCGTTCGAAAGATCGAAGTTGGAAGTTGGGCAGGTGGAAAGGTGGAAAGGAAGCTGGGCAAGTGTTTCTTTCTGCTTACATGTGTAGTTTATTTCACATAAGTTTAGGTTCTATTGTTCGTTTCTCTTTTTCGCGGAGCTTTGAAATTCACTAATTTTTCGCTTTTTGTTTTGTTTGCTTTCTTTTTTTGTTTAGTTTTTGATAACATGAAGATCTCTTTGCAATCGGTTAACATCAAATAAGTTTGTAACTGTTGATTATTTACTATATATATATGCTGCTGCTGCTGCTTCTGCTGCTGATCCTTGTGACTGGTTGTGTGAGTGAGTGTGGTGTGTGGTGTGTGGTGTGTCTGTGTGTCTATCTGATCCTGCTCAGTGTCCTCATGCTGCTGCTCATTACGAAGAAAAATATATATATAATTATATATTTATATATTACGATTTAATATTGATTTCCCTCTGGTTTCACAATTATTTGAAATGGATTCATTTTCTGTTTTCTCAGCTTTTCCTTTTCTGTGGGAGTGCCGCCTTTCTTTCCTTTTGCCTTTTCTCTCTGTGTAGCTTCTGCATTATCCTTAACTTCTGTTCAACTTCTTCGGCTTCGTTTTCTGTGTGGGTGGGTGGGTGTGTGGCTGGTTGGTTGGTTGGTTGATTGGTTGGTTATGCGTTTGGATGGGGGGATAGCGTTTGCGTTTGCGTTTGGTGCATTTCGGATGCTGGATGGGGAGGCGCTTGGCGGGCACTACACTCCGACTGCCTGCCGCTGCTCAGCTTAGCTTAGTTATCCAGCCATGACTCGCGTCATTCTGTGTATTCCCACCAGTCCTTGTCGTACCCCTCGTGCACGTGCTTCAGCAGGACAGAGCACCGCTTTTCACAATACCTAATTGAATAAGAAAATATTTAGGAATTTGATATTATATCGTACAGGTCGAAAAACCCACCTGTATTTATCTTGCACTTTCTGCTTAATATCAGCCAAATTCTCGGATGTAATATCACGTTCCAAATACTCGGACAACGTCTCGGTTGCCGACTCCAAGTCCTTTTGATTATCCTCGAATATCATGGATTGATTGTTCTTTTTCAAGTAATACGCAAACACGTATGTGTACATGAGAGTCTGACGGCACTGGCAAAGTATGTCGACAGCCTTTTTCAGGAATTGCACCTTTAATTGTAGAGATTTTCGCTTGATGAGTTTATCTACATATATGATTTTGTAGGGCACTCACCTCAATCCAGGACATGTTGTGCTGCTGCATCTCCTCCATTTTTTGCTTCACAGATGCATACAATTTGTTCTCGAACTTCATCGACTGCATGTGGTTCATGTAGCGATTATAGTAATGGAGATATCTGTGGATTAGGTGGAATGTTTGCAATGGTAAGTAATATATACAAAAATGTGCTAGGAAATTACAATAAATATGTATATATAAATTACAAAATATAATTATTAATTAATAATCTATATGAATATATAAATATTTAAAAAAATATATAAAATATACAAAATATAATTATTTATTATTAAAATATATAAATATATAAATATAAAAAAAAATAGATATTTATAATTTACAAAAACAAATTGTTAATCTTATATTTATGCTAGTTTTAAGGACAAGAAAATTCATTTATACTACTAAAAACAACCATTAATGAGCGGCTCGTTATCTTAACTCCCCTTTTGATTTGCAATTGATTGCGCTTTACTTAGTTTAAATTCTTTTTTCCGTACGCAGATAACTCAACTTGTTTACCAGCGATAAAACTAAATTGAAAATTATAGCTGATTCATTTCGATTTTGGCTTATCATTAATTAGAGCAATTAGCAGATAAACCAAGTTCATTCATGAGTAAGCAACCCACCTGGCCAGCGAGGAGCGCAGCTTCTCCTGGGCATCCCGGGCCGTCTTGGCCTCGTCCTCGTCGTAGCGATTGCAGTTGTACCAGGAGGAGCCGTGCGGCTCCCAGGAGCCGAGACAGACCCAGCAGAACTCGTACTTGCAGTTCTGGTTCTTGCACACCATGTGATTGCAGCCGCCGTCCTTCTCGATGGTCACGCTGCACTTGGGACACTCTTTGGTATTGGCCGCAATCCAGTTGGACGTCTCCGAGTCGTCGTCGCACTTCTTCATCCACTTCTTTAGCCAGCGACACTTGACAGGATCGTGCCAATTCTCGCCGCAGGCAAAGCAGAAGACATGGCCGCACTTGCAGTGGACGCGACGCGACTCCGCATACGGCACCTTCACCGCATAGGTGCAGTCGACGGACGGACACCAGCGGAGCAGCTGGTTGCACTCCACAAAGCTATTGGTGATCAGCTGCTGGTACTTGACCCGCACCCGTGCGTCCAGCACCAGCCTGGTGACGGTCACGTCGTCCACCAAAATATCACAGCCGTGCGCCGCGCACGAGATGGTCTGGCCCAGACCCTCCGTAACGATCTTCGTTGTGAGATACTCGCGCCAACAGATCATGCAGAATCGGTGTCCGCACTCCAGCCCGGTCATGGACTAAATTTAGATTTATAAAGAGAGAATAAATATTAGTTGAAATAGCCTTTAAATATTTTATACATTTTCCTATCGTTTATATAAATATTTCAACCACTTTTTAGGCGATTTGACCTTGAATTCCCTTTCTTATCGTGCATGAATGAGGCTACAAGCATCTAAGGTCTGGCAAAAGTGAAAGTGACTACAAATTGCAATTCACAATTTGCATATTTTACTTTAACAAGACAGGTGACAAGTCGATTATCCAATCTAAAGCCTCGCATAGCGATAATTTCACTAGACATTACCAGATTCCTCTAGGGGAATTCAAATAAGTACGGTAACAATCAAAAATTATAAATCAAACTGTTAAAATATTGATAAGCTTTTGGCAATAAAATAATTGATATTATAAAAATAAAGTCTTTTGGAATATTATAGATTATAGATTGGTGCAGGCTAATCTATAAACGGAGATAAGGAATTCATGGTTTGTCGGTGGGAAAATAGTGAAAATAGCGAGTCGAAACCGCAATTAGGTCATGCAGGAACCACTTACATCTGGCGGTAGCAGGGAAAAGCATATTTCGCACTCCTCGCACTGACTTCGTGTGGTCTGAAATAGAGGGAAATGAGAAATGCATTAGATGGTACACAAAATGAAGGAACCGCAGCACTCAGAAGCTTACCGTTTGCCTGACCGCTTCGGTGGCGTTGTTAGGATTTATGACGTGTGCGCATTTGAAGAACTCCTCGGTGTTGTTGTCGTCGAAGTACTTCTCCAAGAGCTTCTCCTTGTCCCACTTGAAGTGATTCAGCAGTATCCGCGTTATGGGCGTGGGGAGCTGTGGGCACATAGAGCAATACAAAGCAAATGTCACTGAATGATGGCTAATATATATAATATATATGTACACATTGGGGCGACAGGAGGGAGAAAAAGAGGTGGCTGCATCCCAGTTGGCCTCGAAATCAATGCCAAATCATTAGCGATCAGCATTAGGATGAACCAAACCAAACTATAACCAACAAAAAGAAATTTCAAACAAAATAATGAACCAAACTGTCTTTTCTCGTCAGCATTTTAAATTAAAAGTAGGCTTTTGAGCCTAAATAATGAACTAACCTTCTTAGGGCCACTTTATCGTCCTCATGTTAAATTTAAAGTAGACTTGAAACCTTGGAACAGTTTAACAATTTAACAAGCGGACGGAAAAACGGCCTTTCCTGGTAAAAATTGATAATTAGCCGAGTCTTTTCAAGTCTATCAATAATTATTATAATTTAAATTAAATGTTTCTATTATAGTATCACTTCATTTTTTGTTATTTTCTAAAATACACCTCCAAAAATCAAAAAATATAGAAATAACTTTAAAGAGCTTTCAAAAAGTGTTTTATTTTAACTATCAATTAGCTACAGAAAATGCGTGTCAACAAAGAATGTTAATTGAATTTCATATAATAATGAAATTACCATCATAAAAAATTCCCTCAGTTTTCTAAGATTTTTGGAATAAAGTTTATCAATCAGACTATAGAAATTTCCCTCAAAACATATAATCTGGTTTTTGGAAACCTTATTTTGTTATTATCATAATAAAGTAATTTTCTTTCTAACTTAAATCAGTTTTTCTTTGTTTAACCCACATGCAGCACTTCTTTGCTCCGGATTTTGTTCTACTCAATTCCAAGAAAATCCCTGAAACTCTCGGTTTTTCCAAGGAAATCCCTTGAATCGAATCGTGGGAAAGTGAAAACTTTGGGCAAGCCAGCTGCAGATGCGGATGAGGGATGCGGATGTGGGATGCGGATCTGGCTACCTTGGGTGCGCCTGGGTGCTTGTGTTCCGATTTCACTGGCACTGGCAGTCATCAGCGGACGACCTTCAGTTTATCCCAGATCCCAGAGAGAGCAGAGCGGAGGGAGGAGGCGCTGAAGGGGGGGGCGCGAGATGCGCGGATACACATGCACTATGTGCAGTACAGTAAGAACTCTGATGGGTGACTGATCAGATATTGCAAGAATAAATGAATATTGTAAATAAATAAATACCAAAAAAAACATTACTATTTTAAGAAATTATTATTTTAAGAATTATTATTATTGATATGTAGTATTTCTAAAAAAATAATACTTGGTTTATTATATATACGACTGACTTTTTAAGAGATAGGAATAGAAGCCTCCAAGGTTTAGTGCTCAGCTGGGAAGAAATGGAAGCGGAAGTGAGCAAATCTTGAGTTTTTGTTGGACTTCTTAGGAATGTTAGACTGTAAAAATACAATTAAATGTTTTAATGCCTGGCTTTTCCAATAATTTTAAGGAAATCTATCTATATTTAGTTTATTCTATAACTTTATTGGGTTTTTAACTGATGATAGTTCGTGACTGAGGTGTTGACTGTATGTTAGAGTGTAAAAATACAAATAAATGTTAGAATTCCTGGCTTTTCCAATAATTATAAGGAAATCTATCTATATGTAATATAATCTATTATATTATTGGGTTCCCATCTGATGATGGTTCGTGACTGAGGGGGTTGACTGTATGTTAGACCGTAAAAATATAATCTGTAAAAAATAAATAAATCTATCTATATGTATTTTATTCTATAACATTATTTGGTTCCCAACTGATGATGGTTCGAGACTGGGAGTGTTGACTGTATGTTAGACAGCTCTTCCAGTAATTTTAAGGAAATCTATCTATATGTATTTTATTCTATAATATTATCTGGTTCTTTACTGATGACGGTTCGTGACTGAGAGGGTTCACTGTATTTGTTGTTAATTAATTTCGATAGAAGGCAGATAGATAGAACACTTAGCTGGCGCCCACTGTACTTACCTTCAGCAGCAGATTGACATCGTCGATGATCTCCCGCTGGTGTTGCACAATCTCGTCGGTGGTGAGCACCTTGTACTGGTAGTCGTCCTGGTCCAGCTGGCGCTCCGCGGAGCTCGGCAGGTCCACCTCCATCCCGAAGTCGTCGTCGCCGTCGTCGCCCGAGGAGACGTTCCCCGAGTCGACATTATCGCAGAAATCATTGTCATTGTCCGAGTCCATTTTTCGGTCTCTGTTTTGCGCTTCTTCTTCTTCTGCTGCTCCTTCTCTCTGCCTCTGCCTCTTCCTCTGTTCCTCCCCGCTCCACTTCCTCTTCCACTTCCTCTTCCTCTCTTGAGCTCCCCTCTTTGTTCTTCGCTTTCGTGGCTTTGTTTTTCCTCTTCGCTTTTGGCTTTGGAAACTTGCTTTTGTTTACGTTTTTGCGCAGCCCTTTTCTTTTCCCGTCGCTCTTGTTGTTGTTGCTGTCGACGCTTGTGGCGTGGCCCGTTGCGCTCTTCCTGCGCTTTTTGCACACTTAACACTAGCTTGTTTAATTGGCTGCTGATTTAAACGCTGCGTGCTGCTGCTGGGTTTTTTTTTTAATAAGGGGGAAAAGAAAAATACATATGTGAGAATTTTCTAATGACAATAGGATGGGGCCTTCGTTCAGCTGACGCGGTCATACTGGCGGCGGTATTTTCGGCAGTACGGTCCTACCTAACAGGGGCGAACTGCTGATTTAACAGCGCCAAAGCCAAAATAACATTCTGTTAACCGTGTGTGTGTGTGTGGATGTACATATATTTTGTATATTATATACACAATTGTTGTTGTTTTTCTTTGATTTTGTTTTGTTGTCCCGTCCCCCCTTTCGTTCACTTTGTAAGCAGATTATGTTGTTTGCAAGGCATTTTCAAGGTTTTCACCAGCACACTCGAGCTGGTGGCACACACATGCGCACGTTACGACACACACACGGACAAACGCACACACACACACACTCGAAAAGCTTGACTTTTTGTTGACTTTTTACGCACTTTTGCCACAATTAAAACACCAGTGGGGTGGCCGACTCGGCAGCGAGTTCAGTTGCATGGCAGCCTGGCGGCGGTTGCGTTGACGTTGAACTTCGAAAGTCGATTTAAAAACATTTTAAAACATTTCTTTCATTTTTCGACAAGTGAACGCAGAATTATCGATTAAATCACGCTGACAAAATCTAGTCTAACAGGGATATCGATGGTTGCACTCAATTTCGTGCTCGCTGTTAACCGAAAACATCGATGACACAGCGTAAGCAAGGCTTATCGATAGGTGTGTGTATGTGCTAACTCAGCCGTGTCTCGCTCCGCACAGTGCTGTAAAGTGTCGCAAGGGCGGTGGTTTGTGTCCTAGCTTAAAACCAAGATGGCGATCAACTTTGAAAGCCTTTAATTTTCAGTTACTTTTTCACCAACAAAATGGCCGCCATTCATTATTAAAATAGAAAAACCAAATTAAATTTTGTTAGAAAACTGCTTTTATTTAAAATCCTAAATATATTTACATCCATTCGAGCAGCCATAGGCCATCTCACTCTAATCCAGCACGATCTAGCCTCTCTTTCTATTCGAAACTCGTACAAGAAAGAGATCACCTCTCTACATCCGTCTCGCTCTTAACGAATACTTTTTTCTTGGAACCTCCCAAGTTTCGTATAACAATTCACCAGTTCTGCGAAACTTGGAAATTTCCTTTGTTTTTTTTGGAATGGTTAAGGCACGTAAAACGTTACGAATGCAACATTTTGCATGCCTTAAGACTTTGATTTCGTTCAATGGCGGCTTGTAAAACGTTGCGCGTCTTAAGGGCTTTCAACGCGTTGACGGCGATTGCTCCATTTTGTTTTACAGCTTGACGACGCGACATACGAGTCAAGCATGAAAACAATCACCTGGTTTTCAAATAATCGAATTACTTAGCTGGTCGTACAGCAATACAACCTCTCGATTACAGGAAAACCATTAAAAAAACGGAGCGACCGATTCTTTAATGCTTTTGCTTTGGAAAACGGTTCGAACGATTCTCAACGCGTTTTGACTGGGCTGCAGTCTCTCGTTCATTCGAACCCTCCTCCAAAGCTATTGTATATATTACCCCTTAGGTGGCCATCTCAACGTCCTAAAAGGGAGAAAGAGAGGTAAGTAATTAGAATTGTCGCTGTTGCAACGTGGCCGAAAACCTCCTTTAAGGAAATTTTCAAATTTGATTTCAAATCTACACCGATCACGGAAGTAACCCACTCACTTGCAGCTATTTTTCGAGACTGAAAGGAAAACGCGGGATGGAATGGAAGTTATTAATAGGTCACCACCATTTTGTTTGTGTGTGTGTGTGTGTGTATACGTTGCATGGGGCACTTACCATGACAATGGAAACTGTACCGCACCACATTTGATATTACTATTTGAACGCCCCCCAAAAATTTTTATTAAATTTTCACTTTGTGCAAGAAACTAGGAAAACTAAGAGCATAATGCCAAATCGAATGAGTAATCAGTGTGTGTGGAAAATAATAAACTGAACTGCAAATATGTGAGTGAGTGTTGGATCAACGGAAAATTAATTAAATTTTAGAAATTAAAACCCAAAACCTTTTTACCAACGAACGTTCGTTTACCTGAAAAACCTGAATTCTATTATATTTTATTTTTGGCAGTATATAAATACCGGAAAATGCCTGCAACAAAGCAAACGCAAAAGGTCCTAAAATTGGATGTGGTATTTTTGGTAGTATATAAATACCGGAAAATAAATATAAATATAGTATTTATATACTAAAGTAGAAACGGTGGTATTGGAATGGAATGGGGAACATGGGATTAAAACGAATTCTCCAAATTTTAAATTATACCGCTGTTGCAACTTGTATATCGCTGCTGCAATTTTAAGCAAAATTGATTTTAACTTGTAAATTTGTAATTTTAACTTTTAAAGAACTTGTAAAACTAATTTGTGGATAATATCAATATTCCCATGGAAATTGTTATTACATTTAAGTGAAATGGCGGGGAAAACAGAGGGTTTTAACAACTTTTTTCTAAATTTTGAAACTTTTTCGAGAAAGAATATTGAAGAAAACAATCAAAAATATATTAAAAAGAAAAGTTTAGGCTTTTTCTAACCGATTTCTGTTAGTATTTTAATATTTACTTCCCCAAATTAAACCTTAATCTTCAAATAAAGCAAATTAAGCTTTGTGAAAACAGAATAAAAAGACACTAGATTTTACTTAATTTGAAGAAAACAAACAAAAATATATTTAATAAAAAAGTTTAGGGGTTTTCTAAGCGATTTCTGTTAACATTTTCTTAATTATTTCTCTAAAGCAAAACTATATTTTTCATAAAAACTTTAAGCCTAACTTAACCTTCAAATAAACTCAATTAAAACAGAATAAAAAGACACTAGCTATTACTTAATTCCAATGTGTGTTTATTTGGCCCTTGGAATCGATCAGTCGTTCATGTCGCCCACTCCTACTGCCCCGCCCATGGCGTGATTCAGTTCCTTTCCCCCGGCGGCCAGGACGTCCAGGAGCAGATCGCCCTTGTCCTTGCGCCTGCTGGGCCGCACCTTCTTCTGCTGCTGCAGGGCGGCCACCTGGGCGGCGTGCATCTGCCTGCGGTGCTTGTGCATGTTGCCCGAGTTCTTGAACGTGCGCTCGCAGAAGGCGCACTCGTACAGATCCTGTCCCGTATGGGTGGCCGTGTGCTCCTCCAATCCCCGACTGCTCTTGAACTCCTTGCCGCAGTGCGTGCACTTGTGATACTCCTTCGGATGATGGTAGCGTATGTGCGCGGCCAGCTTCGCCCGCGAGCCCTTCTCCAGACCACACTGCTCGCACTTCCACTGGCGCAGCGAGGCGGCGTCCAGATGCATGTACATGTGCTTGCGCAGACTGTTCTCGTCGGAGAGCCACACCTGGCACTCCTGGCACTGCACCTCCGGCAGCTGGGAGCCCTCGCGGTGGACGGTGCGCTTGTGGACGAGCAGATTCTGCTTCGTCTTGAACTTGGCGCCGCAGGCGTCGCAGATGAAGGGCACGAAGGCGGGGTCGTGGGTGCGTCGCATGTGCAGCCGCAGATCGACGGCGGTGCGAAAGCTACGTGGGTTATATATTCTCAGTTATCGTTTTAGTTATATATTTCCTTTACTTACGATCTATCGCAATGCTTGCACTGCTCCTTCCGCTCCTGCTGATGCACCCGCGAGTGAATGGTGAGCAGGAACTGCTTGGAGAAGCGCTTCGAGCACTGATTGCAGGCGAAGCTCAGCTCGTCCTCGTTGGAGTGGAAGCGCAGCATGTGCACGTCGTAGCTGATGCGGCTGACCAGCTGCTTGGCGCAGATCTTGCAACGAAAGTAATCGGGATCGTTGTGCATGCGCAGGTGGTCGACGTAGAGGGCGCGCTTCTTGTAGCGCCGCTGGCAGCAGACCACATAGCCGGCGGACTGGTGATGGCTGCGGAAGTGACGCTTCATCTCGGCGAAGCTCTGGAACTGATCGTCGTCGCTGCCGCCGCACAGGCAGCACTCCAGGCGGCCATGCAGCGCGATGTAGCTGTCCATTTCGCGGCTATTGGTGCTACGGCTTTCTGGGTCACCCTCCGCCTCCTCATCCTCGTCCGCTTCCTCCTGGTGGCGCTTCGTCTTGGCCTTCGCCTTGGCCACCCGGCTTTTGGGTGCTGCCGCCGCCCTTGGTCGCATTGTTCGCCTGATGGGCGAGGGCATCCTGCTGCTGCTCCTGCTGCTCTTGCTGCTCGCATCGCCATCGATCTCGTTGCACTCCTCGTTGTCCGCCGGCGCGGGACTCACATCGATCTCCGGCTCGCACAGGATCTGCGCCTTGGTGTCCGCATCCTCGTCGTCCTCCGAAAAAGGCTCCATTTTCAGCTGCTGCAGGCCCAGCTGCTTCTTCATCACCATGGCGCAGAACTGCTCGAAGTCGGCCAGCTGCTGCCAGCACTGGGTGCACAGGCACTTGGACACCGCGTCGTTGGGCAGGAGCTGCGGGATTTAGAGATTCCCAGTTAATTAAGAATAAAAGTTTAAATAGAGGGAAAAACTTGATTTGCACCTACCACCAACTGCAGGTGCTTTTCAATTAGCTCAGCCAGATGGGAGGGCGCCTCCTCCTGCTGCTGCTCCTCCTGGTCGAAGATCGGCACGCTGTGCTCCGCATTGTCCAGGCAGAGGCGACATATCATTGCGCGACGGCTGCAGGAACACCAATTAATTCAATTAATTGCCAGGCAAAATAATTCGGTTTACCACACGTGGCGTTGCCAGATCGCGGCCAGAATCAACGTCAGGCGATAGAGTTGCCAGGGTGGAGCCAAAGAAAAAAGCTAAAGGGGCGAGTGATGGTTTAAAAACAAGCTAAATTAAAGCTAAGATAAATTAAAAAATTACTTTTGTAGAAAACAAAAATGTACTAAACTTATTAAACAATAGTAAACAGTAAAAATGTATTTCTAAATTTCTAAAATATAAGGTCCACTGTTTACGCTCTTATTAATCCACATACAAATGTTAATCAATCTAATTACTAATTTATTTATTTAAATTAAGAGCTCTAGCAGCTAAGGCCTTCAGCTCATCTGAGGTTTGAGATTAATTACATATTTTTTTCTTATTTTTTAAATTTAGATTTTTTACTTAATGTGGGCTTTTCCAAGGAATGAGATGATTTTAATTCCTAAGAAAACTGTCTCACAAAAAAATATACAGTCGAGCCGAAAGCCTTAGTTGCTAGTGCTTTTAAATCCTTCTTATCTCATAGTTTTACACTGTAGGTTATATAAATAAATAAGTAATTCCCAATTATTGTTGATCAATTTATAGAGATATATCTAATGCTCAAGTGTTTGAAAACAGTTCTAAAAAACTAGCTAGAAAACTAGCCAGACGGTGGGCACTGACCACAACAACAACACGACAGGCGGAAAGGAGAAGAGAAGACGCGACGCCCCGAAGCCTCAAAAAGTAATTGAATTAGAATAGAAATAGAAATAGAGCCCCAATCCCGATCCGATCCCCATTTGCCGGCGTCTCTCATCCAGAATGACCGTTTCCGCCGCAGTGGACCAGTACACGGTGCTAACGGGTGACCGCTCCAAGATCAAGGATCTCCTGTGCAGCCGGCTAACCGAATGCGGTTGGCGGGATGAAGTGCGTCTGATGTGCCGCTCCATTCTGCTGGAGAAGGGTTCGAATAACAGCTTCACCGTGGAGCAGCTCATCACCGAGGTGACGCCCAAGGCACGCACCCTCGTTCCCGATGCCGTCAAGAAGGAGCTGCTCATGAAGATCCGCACCATTCTCACCGAAAACGAGGAGGAGGAGGCCGAGGAGCCGGAGGAGGAGTCCTAAAATCCACCACATCCCTGATTTCCACTAACTTGCTAACCACTACAGTAATTACTCTCGTTTATTTGTACGGTTTTATACATAAATCCCATAAATCCAGGGAGCATTATCCATCGAAATCCAATCCGATTCCTTACACACACAAAAACAAGCAGATTCAGTCGGGCGTGGGACACACGGAGCTGTTGCTGACAAAGTCGAAGCCCTCGGGATCGGGTATCTCGATGAGGGACTTGCTGTCCATCCCGCCCAGCGGCGGCAGCATGGGAGTAGCTAATTGAGGCTGAGGTGGAGGAGGAGCTGCAACCGGAGGAGCTGCAAGCGGAGGAGCCGCCGTGGAGGTCATGCTGCTGCTGGGCTGCGAGTACTTGCGCACCCAGTCGTTGGGATGCATCTTCTTCTTGTGGTTGTGCATGTTGGCGTGCGACTTAAAGGTGCGCGTGCAGAACTGGCACTGATACAAATCGATGCCCGTGTGGGTGGCCATGTGCTCCTGGAAGAGAAACGAAAGGATTAACTGGAATTAGAAAGGCTGTGCCTTCAACTCACTGCCAACGCCCTTGGCAACTTGAACTCCTTGTCGCAGAGACTGCACTTGTGCCGCTTGGCGGAGTGATGGTACCGCATGTGGCTGCTGAGTGCGGCACGGGATGACTTCTCTGCATTGCAGAGCAGGCATCGGTACTTGGTGTCGCCGTCGCGGTCATCGTGGCGCGCCAGATGCTTGCGCAGGCTACGCTCGTCCCGCAGCCAGCGGCCGCACAGGGTACACTGCACCTCCGCCACGGGCCCATCGGGATGCAGGGCCTTCTTGTGGATGAGAAAGTTCGCCTTGCTGCGGAAATGCGTGCCGCAGATGTCGCAAATGATGGGCGTAAAGTCGGCCGCATGCATGCGCTTAACATGGGCGCTCAGCTCGAATTTGGTGCGGAATCTGTGCGGGGGAGAGGGTACAAAATTAGAGGAGCAGGAAGATTATAGCTCTACTCACGTCTTGCCGCAGGTGTCGCACACCTCGGGCCGCTCGGTGCCCTTGTGGCCCTTCAAATGCATCGTCAGCAGGAACTTCTTGGCGAAGCGCGCCTCGCAGATGGCGCACTGATGGACGAGCTCCTGCTGCTGCGAATGGAAGCGCAGCATGTGCATCACCTGGCTGTTGCGATTGAGGAAATTCTTGCGGCAGCTCTGGCAACTGAAGTACTGCGGATCCTTGTGGCAGTGCAGATGATCGACATACAGCGTGCGCTTCTTGTACCGATTATTGCAGCACTTCACATAACCAGTGCAGTCGTGCTCCACGCGAAAGTGGCGCTTGAGATCGTTGAAATCCTCCAAGGGAGCGGCGCAAATGGCGCAGTCCAGCTTCACATTGGCGGCTATATAGTCGTCCATCTCCTTGATGCTGCTGCGCTTCACGGGCGCCTCGCTGTCGTCGTCGGCGGTTACAAGTTTCTTGGTCTTGGGACGGCCGCGTTTGCCGCGCGGCTTTGGCTGCTCGTCGGGGGATGGCGATGCCGCCTCATCTTCCTCCTCCTCCTCCTCCTCATCATCCTCCTCCTCCTCGCGCTTAATCTCCCTCAGCCTGGCCCGCGATTCCCTTAAAGAGAGCTCCTTGTTCTGCTGCTTGCGCTTCTCGTACTTCCTTTTGATGATCTGATGAGGCTGCAGTGGCGTCTTGCGCGGCCTGCCCCTGGGTCTCGGCCTCACCGGGTCCAGCTGGGGCTCCTCCTCATCATCCTCATCCTCATTCTCATCCTCCAGCTGCATTTCCGGCTCGAAGGTGTCCCCATACTCGCTATCCTTCTCATCGCCCGCCGACAGAGCGTCGATTACTGGCTCGCATAGTATATGATCCTTGATGTCGTCGCCCTCGTAGCTCAGCTTCGGCTCGATGGGCGACTCCGTGTTCCAGACAACCAAAGCGGGCTCTGGAAGCTCCGGGAGCTCCGTCTTCAGCTGCAGCGAGCGGTGCAGCGAACGCTGCTTGTCGGCCACCATGGAGCAGAAGAGCTCGATCTCGGTCAGCTGCCGACAGCAGCGGTTGCACAGGCACGTGGACACCGCATCGTTGGCCGCCAGCTGGAGGGGATTGGGTTTATATTTCGGATTATAATAAGGATGTAAGGATGGATACTCACCACCAGCTGCAGATGTCGCTCGATCAGCTCCGCCAGCCGGCGCAGCGCCGGTTGCGCCGCCGTGGGGTCCGGGTCGAAAATGGGCACCCCGTGCTCAGCATCCTCCAGGCAGAGTCGGCATATCATCTCATAAAAGGACACCAAAGGACAAAAATCGCAAATCGAATCGGGTTAAATTAAATGCAGCTGTTTTTGAGTTTTTTTTTTGAAGAGTTGTTGTCCAGGGCGTTGCCGGACTGGCAACAGAAGCTGCCAGCGTAGCGGGAAAAAAGCTAAAAAATATAGCTAGAGAATTTGTCAAGATTTTTTTTTTTAACAATTAAAAAATAAATAATCGTTAGTTGAGATTATTATTTTAAAAAGACTACTGATATATTTTGTTTTAAACGTAACAAATAACGTTATTTTTACTCTTGTAGACAAATTAACTGTTATTTGTTAAATTGTTAATTAAAGGTAAATTGTTGATTAACACTTGTACAAATCTCAGTAGGTCTTTTAAAAGAAAAATCTCAAATAACGATTACTTACGGTCCCTGCTTATTATTCAAAGAAGCGTTTATTGTACATATGGAAGTGTTTTGAAATTTATTAAAATCGTTTTCAGATTTGGAAACAGTGGCGAAACGGTTGTGTGACATTCGAAATTACTTTTTTTATAGCGCTGTGACTATCTAAGACACTTCTGGGATATTTAAGGCACAGCGGCTGAAAGCTTCTCTTGATTTTCAAACAAGACCGGTTTAAGATCCATTTCCTCGTCGCTAAGGGATGGCTGACGCATGGGCTTCGGCGGCGTTTGGGGCTTTGGCCTCAAGCTGTGATCCTTGAGGACCAGCAGATCCGATTCGGATTCGTTCAGGACATCCAAGCTGGACAAGGTCTTGTCTCCCAGGACCTCGTCGATGGTATCAGATAGGCTGGCCATCTGCTTGCGCTTCTCCTTCAACTGCCTCTTGGCTATCGCATCGTTGACGAGATCCTCGATGCTGGGCGTGATCTGCAGGGCAGGACGATGCCCACGGGACAGGATGCAGCTATCCGCCACGGCCATCAGCTGGCCCAGGGCAGAGCTCACCAGTTGACCCACTAGATCACCGGTCGCCAAAGCGACATGGGTTAGGACCTGGTCGAAGGAGAACTCGTTGTGGCTGAAGAACGATCGCAGGAGCTCCTCGTAGATCACCTCATTGCCGCCGCCCACAGTGGGCAGCAGCCAGAGCAGGAAGAGCAGCTTGATCTCGTTCAGAAACGGAATGAATGCCACTAGACTCGCTGTCAGAAAATCGAAGACCACAAAGACCCCATAGACGATCCAGTAGGACATCCAGAGACGGAGTTCCCCCTCGTTGCTCTTCTGACCGTTAAGGATCTTGTAGGACGCGAATGCGGGATAAAAGCAGCCCACGAGGAGGGTAAGCAGACGTACTATGTTCGCATAAAGCATTGTTTTTAATTTTGGGGTACTTTCTAATTTTGGATTTTGTGGAAAATGAAGTTATGTTTCTAGTTTTCAATTTGGTAAATGGATCATGCGGGCAAACAAAAATTTGACAAAGATACTATGCCTGCTTTATTTTTTTTTAAATTTAAAAATTATCAAAAAGCTGAATATTTAAGAAAACTTTTTAAAATATATAAATTTTCAAAACCCACTTTCCTTGACCCAAAAAAAAGCCAAAATGGCGATAAATAGCTAGATAGAACCAGAGCAGTGTTGGAAAGCGCACGGTTAGCGGATTTGAAAAAGCGACGCGATGGAGCCAAACCAAAGTAGCCCAGGAAAAACCCCAAAAACCTTCGTGAGCCGGTTGTCTCTGTTCGGAAATGCGGCCAACGCGACCGCGGGCGACATGTCCTGCAGCGATGTGTCCGACATTGAGCTCCAGGATGTGCCCGCCACGCTGGAGGCCACCCTGAAGCCGCGACCCTACGAGGTTAGCACCTTGTTTAACATCGACCTGGACGAAAGTGAGTGGTTTCCCGATCCAAATATATATATATATATATTATAATCATTAATCTTTAGTTTGGGGCGCCCGCACGCAGGAGGATGAGGTGCAGCAGTACGGGAAGCGCGGCCAGGCGGAGCAGCAGAGATTCGTGGACTTTGTGATGCAGGCGTATATGGAGACGGGTGGCCAGGAGGTGAGCTACCAGCCCAGCAAGGAGCAGCAGCGCCACCTCGACGAGGGGCCCAATTTGCAGAACTTCGTGCGCGGCTCCCTGGCCTTCATCAATGCCGCCATCCGATTTCAGGCGGAGCACGAGGACATGATGGAGCTGCAGGCCAATCTGGAGGATCAGTTGCGGTTCATGCGGAACGCCCTGATCAACAACGCAATGCATGAGAATCTGGCCGCCGGTCCGCGATGATCTTATGATGATCCTATGGCATAATAGGTTTTTACCTCAGTATATAAGTAGTAAGTAATTTAAGATGAAACAGTGAACCATTTTCCATTATTACCCCTATAAATTTGGCTAAAATTGAAAGCTTGTTGATTAAACATCGTATCCCAGCTATATCATGATTTATAATCTAAGCAATAACCGATAATTTAAGATGAAACAATGAACCATTTACCCTTATTACCCCTTGATTAAGCTCTATAAATTAGGCTAAGATTGATACATGATATCCTAGCTATAACCTGATTTATAATCTAAGCAATAACCGATGATCTTTTGATGATCCTATGCCATAATAAGTAATACATTTTGCCTGAGTGCATAAGTAGTAAGTAATTTAAGCAGAAAAACGGAGCTATTTTCCATTATTACCCATTAGTAAGCATGAAGTTGTTCTTAAGCTGATCAAATCGAAAGCTTGTTGATTAAAGATCGTATCCCATCTATAACCTGATTTATAATCTTGAAAGAACAACATTTGCCTGTATGTAAACTCGAGTTAACAAAGGTTTTTAGCTAGTCTTCTCAGGCATTCGGGTGTTTAATCAAAAAGTGTGTGTTTGTGAGCTGCTCATTCCTTGTTCCAGGCGGCCAGGTACTTCATGAGGTCCGTGAGGCTCTCGAAGTCGGTGCGGCTGGCGGGCGGTTCGTCCTTGGTGATCCTGGGCAGTGCGTTGCCCATCTTGAGCCGGAACTCCTGGAACTTTAGATGAAATTGGGTAAATTAGAAGCTACCCTGTAACTGGGGAAACTTTATCCTTACATCTTTGGCTCCCGAGAGCTTCCAGAAGCCGTAGCAAAAGGCGCCGGTGCCCGCGACGGCGTACAGAGTGCCCCAGCCGAGTGCCCGCAGGGCCAGAGTGGCGCCCTCGTCCATCAGGATCATTCCTTGCCTGGTTCCAGCCTGCTGGAGGACCTTGCTGTCCGTCTTCTTCGCGGTGGCCAGCGTGCGGGAGAACCCGAACAGAGCGGACACGCCGCCGACCAGGCCCAGAAAGGCGGCGGCTGCAAAGTGGAGGAGGAGGTGTACTCCAGTCAGTGGAAATCAGTGGGGCAGGACAACAACCCACCCTGGATGCGGAACTTGCGCTCCTTCTCGGCCGCCACTGCATCCGCGTTGGTGCCGGCCTCGCTCATCGTCCCACTGCTTCTTCCGGCTGCTTCTGCGATCTATTATTTGTCGTAATTACCCAAAGCGGAGCGCACTGCACAGCTGATCGCTTGACCGCTTGACCGGCCGGTATTTCGCAGCACTGCCACCGGCGTTGGCCAACACTAAACATAGAGGGAGTTGCCACTTTGTGGATTTTTAGCTATTTTTCAGATACTTAATTATTAATTAGGTAATAATTTACATTTATTTATTAATCTATGCCAATTGAATTCCAAGCGAATATTCAGTCTCTGAATTTGAAATATTTTATTTTGTTTCTCCCCTACATTAATTCACTACTTTGTTTTTTTTTGTTATATTGTTTCTCCCCTACATTAATTCACTACTTTATTAAGCAAATTGAATGAATTCACTTCCTCTATGTTGCTTTTAAATTTAAATCTTAAGTTAGCTACTAGTCAATAGTTTTGTAAAGCCAACCAGAGTCTATGCCAATTAAATTCCAGCTGAAAAATAATATTCAGTGCTTAATTCACTTGCTCTAGTTTATTATAAATGTTAATCCCAAGTTAAGCTTTGTACTCAACCCAACAAAAAGTCGTCCAAAACAAAGAACTTCATATGAAAAACAACGTCAAAAAATTGTGTTTCATATGAAGTTTTCGTTTTGGACGACTTTTTGTTGGGTTGAGTACTAGCCCTTAGCTTTGTATAAATAAATATTTAAATAAATAAGTAACTTCACCTGCCTAGCCATTAACCAGCTAGTTTAGCTGGCTAGCTAGTTAGCTAGACTTACAACCACCTGGCAACCCTGAACAGCATGACCGTACTCGCCAGTGGTATTTCCGACACTTTTCGGTCGCGTTGTCCGCGTTTTCACGTCGCATCGCGCTAGAAAAAAGGGAAATTCGCACTCGCAACCGCCTGTAGAGAGACCGAATGTTGTAGAATGCACAGCAGCAGACAGTGATTGTTTACCCAGTCTTGTTTTCGCCCACGCCCCGCCGATCCGTGCCGTGCAATCTCTCCTTCTCCCCCCTCGGCGGCCCCCCGAATCGCACGAGGTGAAAAGTGTGACGACGCAGCAGAAAGCAGCCCCACTTTCTGGGATCTCGAGTCGCCAGTGGTTCTGCCTCCAATTCCGATCTCCTAGTGGCCATTGGCCAGTGACCAGTGACCAGGATGAGCACCACCACGGACTCGAAGGCGCCGCTGCGCCAGGTGAAGCGCGTACAGTTCGGCATTTTGTCACCTGATGAAATTGTAAGTGCAGCTCAGTTTAGTTCAGTTCGCCTCCCTCCGACGCCATATTGAAAAAACTGAAAAACGATTGAAAATTTTGTAAACCAGAATGCGAATGCAAAAAAATTGGCAATCGCCCACAACAAACGCGCATCTCCGTGGAATAGATGCAAATAAATGTATATTATTGACTGTACTGTTGACTGTTTTTAGTTGCCCTTTGTGAGGGATTTCCAGGAATTTCAAAGGATCATGATTTGGGAAAAATATTATGAAAATACATAATCTAGAATCTAGAATACTCTATAAAATTCTTGACTAAAAAAACGGGAAGTAGCTAAAATCACCCAGAACGAATTGATATAGAAATCTTAAAAAACTTAAAATTAAAAGGGGATTGTTAGGATCATTAAACCGTAATTCCTCTACATTCTCTAGATATACATAGATGAAATATATATAGATGTAAATCAGTTTTATATTCCTGAAATTACCTTCCATATACAGGACATTCCAAAATACGATAATCAGATTTAGTGGATTTATTATCATGCGGATTTATTATAAAAAGATTTGTAAAAAACTCCTAAATACCTTTTTTTACTGGGCAAAACCCATACACTAGTAATATTATCAACATAAATGTTGGTAAATTCGTACCCGAAGTATTAAATGCAATCTTAGGATAGAGAACAAGTAATCACAATTTTCTTGTTTACTTATCATACCATTATCAAGTAATAATTATCAAACAAAAGTTGTTTCTTTATGTATTTGGGGAAAAACAATTCCTATATACTATCTAGAAATGTTTAATTTCAACTCACAAACTATTTGATTTCAAATATCTTTCTCCAAAGACCACTTTCTAGAAATGTATATATATTAAATATATTTCTCTGTACCATTTATCTTACATAATAAACAACTAATGACTAAAGAAAATGAAATCGATAGTTTTAAGATCATAACAAAATGAACATCCTATGGAGTTTTTTATCTGGTATCTTCATCCAGAACTTAGTTATGAAGAAGCGACCTAATAAATGCAATTTGTATACTTATAAATGCCCTTAATTCCTAGAAATCTACATGCCGGTCTGTGAAGGACTCACGAAACTCTTATTCCGATTAAAGAAAAGGAAATCGATAGTTTCAAGATCATAATCCCTTCAAAATGATCTTAAATCATAGAAATCTATGAATGGCTCAAAAAAGATCATAACAAGATTACCTTTCTATGGAGTTTTTAATCTGATATCTTGATCATAAACTCAGTTATGAAGAAGCGACCAAAAAAACATATCAAAAGTGAAATTTTTCCCTTTCAAAACGATCTTAAATCATAGAAATCGACATGCCGACCTGTGAATTACTCACGAAACTCTTTTTTTCCGCTTTCAGCGCCGCATGTCCGTCACCGAGGGTGGCGTCCAGTTCGCGGAAACGATGGAGGGCGGCCGACCGAAGCTGGGCGGCCTGATGGATCCCCGCCAGGGCGTCATCGACAGGACGTCGCGGTGCCAGACGTGCGCCGGCAACATGACCGAATGCCCCGGCCACTTTGGGCACATCGATCTGGCCAAGCCGGTGTTCCACATCGGTTTCATCACCAAGACAATCAAGATTCTGCGCTGCGTTTGCTTCTACTGCTCCAAGATGCTCGTCTCGCCCCACAATCCCAAGATCAAGGAGATTGTGATGAAGTCCAAGGGACAGCCGCGCAAGCGATTGGCTTACGTCTACGATTTGTGCAAGGGCAAGACGATTTGCGAGGGCGGTGAGGACATGGATCTGACCAAGGAGAACCAGCAGCCGGATCCGAACAAGAAACCCGGTCACGGCGGCTGCGGTCACTATCAGCCTTCGATTCGACGCACTGGACTCGATCTCACCGCAGAATGGAAGCATCCCAATGAGGATTCGCAGGAGAAGAAGATTGTGGTGTCGGCGGAGAGGGTTTGGGAGATCCTCAAGCACATCACCGACGAGGAGTGCTTTATTCTGGGAATGGACCCCAAATACGCCCGTCCCGATTGGATGATCGTCACCGTGCTGCCTGTTCCCCCATTGGCCGTTCGTCCGGCGGTCGTGATGTTTGGTGCGGCCAAGAATCAGGACGATTTGACCCACAAGCTATCGGACATCATCAAGGCGAACAATGAGCTGCGCAAGAACGAGGCCAGCGGAGCAGCGGCGCATGTTATACAGGAGAACATCAAGATGCTGCAGTTCCATGTGGCCACGCTGGTCGACAACGATATGCCCGGCATGCCGAGGGCCATGCAAAAGTCGGGGAAACCCCTAAAAGCCATCAAGGCGCGTCTCAAGGGCAAGGAGGGCAGAATTCGTGGCAATTTGATGGGCAAACGTGTCGATTTCTCCGCCCGCACAGTCATCACACCCGATCCCAATTTGCGCATCGATCAGGTGGGCGTTCCACGCTCCATTGCCCAGAATCTGACCTTCCCCGAGCTGGTCACCCCCTTCAATATCGATCGCATGCAGGAGTTGGTTCGCCGAGGCAATTCCCAATACCCAGGAGCCAAGTACATTGTGCGCGACAATGGAGAGCGCATCGATCTGCGCTTCCATCCCAAATCCTCGGATCTACATCTGCAGTGCGGCTACAAGGTGGAGCGGCATTTGCGTGACGACGATCTGGTCATTTTCAATCGCCAGCCGACGCTGCACAAGATGAGTATGATGGGGCACAGGGTGAAGGTGCTGCCCTGGTCGACGTTTCGCATGAACCTCTCCTGTACATCGCCCTACAATGCGGATTTCGACGGTGACGAGATGAATCTCCATGTGCCGCAGTCCATGGAAACGCGCGCCGAGGTGGAGAATATTCACATCACCCCCAGGCAGATTATTACGCCGCAGGCAAACAAACCCGTCATGGGCATCGTGCAAGACACCCTGACGGCGGTGCGAAAGATGACCAAGAGGGATGTCTTTATCACAAGGGAGCAGGTGATGAATCTACTGATGTTCCTGCCTACATGGGATGGCAAAATGCCGCAACCGTGCATTCTAAAACCACGTCCCTTGTGGACCGGCAAGCAGATCTTCTCGCTGATCATCCCCGGCAACGTGAACATGATACGCACGCACTCCACGCATCCCGACGAGGAGGATGACGGGCCGTACAAGTGGATCTCGCCCGGCGACACCAAGGTAATGGTCGAGCACGGTGAACTTATCATGGGAATTCTTTGCAAAAAGACGCTGGGAACCTCGGCGGGATCGCTGCTGCATATTTGCTTCCTTGAATTGGGACACGATATAGCCGGTCGGTTCTACGGCAACATTCAGACCGTGATCAACAATTGGCTGCTGCTCGAGGGGCACAGCATTGGTATCGGTGACACCATTGCCGATCCGCAGACCTACAACGAGATCCAGCAGGCCATCAAGAAGGCCAAGGACGATGTGATAAACGTCATCCAGAAGGCCCACAACATGGAACTCGAGCCCACGCCTGGTAATACGCTGCGCCAGACATTCGAGAACAAGGTGAACCGCATCCTGAACGATGCTCGTGACAAAACCGGTGGCTCGGCCAAGAAATCCCTCACCGAATACAACAATCTAAAGGCCATGGTGGTGTCCGGATCCAAGGGATCCAACATTAATATCTCACAGGTGGGTTGATAACCAAGAGCACTGGATGAATTATTGAATGAATTAATTTGGAAGTTTTTGTTTTATATTTTTGAGTTTAATTAATTAGAATTTTTAGTTTAATAGACTTGAATGAATTTAAGTTTTGAGTTTAATATAATTAAATTTTAATGTTGAGTGTAATAGAATTAAATTTTAATGTTGAGTGTAATAGAATTGAATGAATTTGAATTTTGAGTTTAATCGAATAATGGCATGAATTTCGAAATAATTCAAATGACAATTTCTTTTGAAGAAGATAGGTCCATAATTTTCTAATTAAATCTGCGTGAATTTTATTTACTATGCAGTTAACATTGATTTGTTAAAAATTTTCCACTTTAATTTGCATTTTGAGTTTAATAGAATGAATTAATGTCTTTTAAAGAAAAAAGTGCCATAATTTTGTGGTTAAATCTGCCTGAATTTTATTTACTAAGCAGTTAACATTGATTTATTAAAAATGTTCCACTCTTTGTTCTTAAAAGAAAACACAAAAAAATTCTGGCAAATTAAAAAAATTCATAAAAATTCTGACAAATTTAAAAAAAAATCATAAAAATTGTGGCAAATTCAAAAAATGCATAAAAATTCTGACATATTCAAAAAATTCAAATTTAATTCGAAATGAATTAGAAAAACATTCAATTTCACATAGAATTGAATTGAACAAATCAGTAATATAAATTCACGCAGTTCTCTATTAATTATACACTTGATTCACAATCCCCTTGAACATGGTACCTAACCAACTCTCTTCTCCAGGTCATTGCCTGTGTGGGCCAGCAGAACGTGGAGGGCAAGCGGATCCCGTACGGCTTCCGCAAGCGCACTCTTCCCCACTTCATCAAGGACGATTATGGTCCGGAGTCGCGTGGCTTCGTGGAGAACTCGTATCTGGCCGGCCTAACGCCCTCGGAGTTCTATTTCCACGCTATGGGCGGTCGCGAGGGTCTCATTGATACCGCTGTAAAGACAGCCGAAACTGGCTACATTCAGCGACGTCTCATCAAAGCTATGGAGTCGGTGATGGTCAACTATGACGGCACGGTGCGTAATTCGGTGGGCCAGCTGATTCAGCTGCGTTACGGCGAGGATGGTCTCTGCGGCGAGTTGGTCGAGTTCCAGAACATGCCAACGGTCAAGCTATCGAACAAGGCTTTCGAGAAGCGCTTCAAGTTCGACTGGAGCAACGAGCGATATATGCGAAAGGTTTTCACCGACGACGTGATCAAAGAGATGACCGACAGCAGCGATGCCATCCAGGAATTGGAGGCCGAATGGGATCGCCTAGTCGCCGATCGCGATAGTTTGCGACAAATCTTTCCCAACGGCGATTCAAAGGTTGTGCTGCCTTGCAATCTGCAAAGGATGATTTGGAATGTACAGAAGATCTTTCACATCAACAAGCGACTGCCCACGGATCTCTCGCCCATGCGGGTGATCAAGGGAGTCAAGGGATTGCTTGAACGATGCGTTATTGTAACTGGCAACGATCGCATATCGAAGCAGGCGAATGAGAATGCCACGCTGCTGTTTCAGTGCCTAATTCGCTCGACTCTTTGCACGAAATATGTGTCCGAGGAGTTCCGCTTGTCGGCCGAGGCTTTTGAGTGGCTTATTGGAGAGATCGAGACGCGTTTCCAGCAAGCGCAGGCAAATCCCGGCGAGATGGTGGGCGCCTTGGCCGCCCAGAGTTTGGGCGAGCCCGCCACTCAGATGACACTGAATACCTTCCATTTTGCCGGTGTGTCGTCGAAGAACGTGACATTGGGAGTGCCGCGTCTCAAGGAGATTATCAATATCTCCAAGAAGCCCAAGGCGCCGTCGCTAACCGTTTTCCTAACGGGCGGTGCTGCTCGCGATGCGGAGAAGGCCAAGAATGTGCTGTGCCGGCTGGAGCATACGACGCTGCGCAAGGTGACTGCGAATACGGCTATTTACTACGATCCAGATCCGCAGAGAACGGTGATTTCGGAGGATCAGGAGTTTGTGAACGTGTACTACGAAATGCCCGACTTTGATCCCACACGCATCTCGCCCTGGCTGCTGCGCATCGAGTTGGATCGCAAGCGGATGACGGACAAGAAGCTGACCATGGAGCAGATTGCCGAGAAGATCAACGTGGGCTTTGGCGAGGATCTCAATTGCATATTCAATGATGACAATGCGGATAAGCTGGTGCTGCGCATCAGGATCATGAACAACGAGGAGAACAAGTTCCAGGATGAGGATGAGGCGGTGGATAAGATGGAGGACGACATGTTCCTGCGCTGCATCGAGGCCAATATGCTTTCGGATATGACACTGCAGGGCATCGAGGCGATTGGCAAGGTGTACATGCATTTGCCGCAAACCGACAGCAAGAAACGCATCGTGATAACGGAAACGGGCGAGTTTAAGGCGATTGGCGAGTGGCTGCTCGAAACGGACGGCACGTCGATGATGAAAGTGCTCTCCGAACGCGACGTCGATCCCATTCGCACCTCGTCCAACGATATCTGCGAGATCTTCCAGGTGCTGGGCATCGAGGCGGTGCGCAAGTCGGTCGAGAAGGAGATGAATGCGGTGCTGCAGTTCTACGGCCTGTACGTGAACTATCGCCACTTGGCTCTGTTGTGCGATGTGATGACCGCCAAGGGCCATCTGATGGCCATCACGCGTCATGGTATCAATAGGCAGGACACTGGTGCCCTCATGAGATGCTCCTTTGAGGAGACGGTGGATGTGCTGATGGATGCCGCCGCCCATGCCGAAACGGATCCCATGAGAGGCGTTTCGGAGAACATTATCATGGGTCAGCTGCCCAAAATGGGCACCGGCTGCTTCGATCTGCTGCTGGATGCCGAGAAGTGCCGCTTCGGCATCGAGATACCGAACACACTGGGCAGCAGCATGCTGGGCGGCGCCGCCATGTTCATCGGCGGCGGCTCCACGCCGAGCATGACGCCACCGATGACGCCGTGGGTCAACTGCAACACGCCGCGCTACTTCTCGCCACCGGGACATGGTAAGTGTATCTTATATTTCACTGATTCACCTGACTAAGACTCTCCCTCTCTTTCCTTTTTGTGTTTTTTGAACTACAGTAAGTGCGATGACACCTGGCGGACCCAGTTTCTCGCCCTCGGCGGCCTCGGATGCCTCTGGCATGTCGCCCAGCTGGTCGCCAGCCCATCCGGGCTCCTCGCCCAGTTCACCGGGCCCCTCGATGTCGCCCTACTTCCCGGCCTCGCCCAGCGTTTCGCCCTCTTACTCGCCAACGAGTCCGAATTATACGGCCTCGTCGCCTGGCGGAGCGTCACCGAATTACTCGCCCTCGAGTCCCAACTACTCGCCGACATCGCCGCTTTATGCGGCTGCAAGTCCGCGTTACGCCTCGACGACGCCCAACTTCAATCCCCAGTCGACGGGCTATTCGCCTTCTTCGTCGGGCTACTCGCCCACGTCCCCTGTTTACTCGCCCACACCGCAGTTCCAGTCGAGTCCGTCGTTTGCGGGCAGCGGCAGCAACTTGTACTCGCCGGGCAATGCGTACTCGCCCAGCTCGTCCAATTACTCACCCAACTCGCCATCCTATTCGCCGACATCACCGTCCTACTCGCCGTCGAGTCCCTCGTACTCGCCCACGTCGCCTTGCTACTCGCCCACATCGCCTTCGTACTCGCCAACGAGTCCGAACTACACGCCCGTCACGCCCTCGTACTCGCCGACCAGTCCGAACTACTCGGCGTCGCCGCATTACTCCCCAGCCTCGCCGGCCTACTCGCAGACGGGGGTAAAGTACTCGCCGACATCGCCCACGTACTCGCCGCCCTCACCGTCGTACGATGGCTCGCCGGGATCACCGCAATACACGCCGGGATCGCCGCAGTACTCGCCGGCCTCGCCCAAGTACTCGCCGACCTCGCCACTGTACTCGCCCAGCTCGCCGCAGCACTCGCCGTCGAACCAGTACAGTCCCACTGGATCGACGTACTCGGCGACGAGTCCGCGGTACTCGCCGAACATGTCCATCTACTCGCCGAGCAGCACCAAGTACTCGCCCACCTCACCGACCTACACGCCGACGGCCCGCAACTACTCGCCCACATCGCCTATGTACTCGCCGACGGCGCCATCGCACTACAGTCCAACGAGTCCGGCCTACTCGCCCAGCAGTCCCACGTTCGAGGAGAGCGACGACTGAGGAAGGGAGGACGGGGGCAGCTCCCCCGGCACGTCGCGATCCCCGGGGCGGTCGAGTCGTAGTTAAGATCGACCATGTAGAGGGGAAAAAGGGTGAATTTAATGATATAAAGTCCGCTGATAGGTCACTTCTATAGAGGATCACTTTGTGCAGAACTCGCAATGGTTATTAGTTTTAGTTTCTCAAGAACCGTAAATTATTGAAAACTCTTCAAGCCTATTTTTCCAATTAGTAAATGCACAAATTTATTCAAAAGTGAAATGCAATTGTTTACCAACCTGTAGATCCTATTCACTCTTTTACAACGGACTTTTATTTTTTTTTACATCTCTATTTTTTATTTGGCCTAAAGTTAGTAGCAAGACCCTAGTTAATAAGTATTGAGGAGCCACGGAATGGGATAGATAACTCATGAGCGGAACACCAAACACACAATATATGTAGCGTTTTCCATATATCATATATTTTTATAATTAACCGGCTTAGTTGATTTCGCCAGCAAAATGTTATCGCCCACACCACCCAAAAGTTATGTCTGCGGCCAGAAAAGTTTCGTAACTACGTATATAAGTATAAGACCGCAGGCATGCATATATAATATCTATATAATCCATATATATATTTGTATGACCAAAACCGAAAACTTTTTGTAAAATATGACACAAGAAAAAAAAACACGTAGAAAAATATTAAATAAAAGCCAAAAAAAATTACTCAAACTCGGGAGTTTATTTAATTTCTCTTTTGGGGCGTTACCTGTTTTAATCGGTATATACACTGATCGGCATAATTATTTTGACAGAACTTAAAGTTAAATCTACTCATATTTTGAACTTATAATAGAAACATTTTGGCACCTTAGAAAGAGCACTTCAATTCAGTTTTAATGACACAACAATGTTCTTAACCCTTTGAAAAGTTACAAAATTAGACAATTTATTGTGAAGTTCAAAATTTAAACTTTTTTTCCTGCAAAAGAAAAATTTCTAAATATTTTTCCTTGTATTTTTTATGATTTTTTGAAAATAGCTTAAAATTAAAATTTTAGCCGCTTTTTTCTTCTTTTCATACAAAATTTTACTGAGATTGTTCCATTTAGTGTCTGAAAATATTGAATATTTTAAACAGAGTTTTTCAAAGATTGAGTATACTTTTGTATACATTTTAAAATGTAATTAAAAATGCTGAAAAATAACACTTCGTTAAAAGAAATTTCTCTGGAATTTAAATAACTATCTAAGTAGTTTGGAGTTTGTTTCATTTAGTCACATATTTCATTGTTATCCACTCGCTCAATCCCCTCCAGATTGCGCTCATCGTCTTCGCTCTCCTCGCTTCTTTCCTGCACCTCGATCTTTGGCTTTACATAGCCGTAATCCTCCAGAGAACGGAGCAGCCGGCTCTGCGTCATCCTTCTATGTTGCTCCATCTTGCCGAACATATCGTGATTGGGTTTGAGGAATCGGTACTCGCTGAATGCCAGTGGATCTGCGACGGCCAGCGCCTTGGTCACGCTGATGTAAACGGTGCGTCCGCGGATGTGGTGACGCAGTGAGGTGTACGGGAATCTCAGGGTGAGCAGGAATTGCTGAATCAGTTGTGAGCTTTTCGAGGTGGCTCTGAAGATTATCTGTGCTTGGATCAGTTGAACCCGGTACTCGTAGTCATCTTCCGGCAGGGACACCTGCAGTTCCAAGGTGCTAATGGTCTGGTAGTAGCTCACCGAGGGTCGCACCACGTTCGGTGGCTGTTGGGAGGGTATCTCAATCTGCTCCTGGAAATGGTCAGGTGGTGGGGCAACCTTTACGCTGCTTTTCTTTGGTTTGCGTTTATTGCTGCTCTCACCGCTTATCACTTGCTTGAGAAACTCCACTGGCTGGGCTTCTATTTGTTGGCCATCCTTTGAGGACTCCTTCTGATCCTCCAGCTGCAAGCGGCTGCAGTTCATCATGCACTCGTACAGCTGGGAAAGGTGGTCTTCTTTGGACTGAGGCTGTGCATCCTGATTACTGGCTGTGATTACTTCTTTGGTCTCGCTGCAGTTTCTTTGCTTTAGCTCCTGCTTTAGCTGGTTCTCCCTTCCCGACTCCAGAGCCACCTGTGCCAAGCGTTGACACCTGAGGCTCAAGAGGGGCTTCTCCTGGGGCTGCTCCTCCTTCTCCTCCTTTTGCAACTCATCCTCCTCTCTTTTGGTTAAGAGTTCCCCGAAAAAATCCTTAACCATTTCCGCAGCCCGCTCACATCTCTTGGCCAGCGTGGCTTTAACCAGATGCTGCGCCAGGCTGAGCTGCCTTAGATGCACCCTGAACTGATCCGCATACACCATGGCCACCAAATCCCGTACGAACAGAGTGCCGGCGGCGGAGAACTGCACTTTGGCCTGCAGGAAGTGTTCCTTGGGCAGTTGACCGAGTGTATATTTGACATTCCTGCCATCCTCCTCCGTCCAGCTGCGTTCGCCGTTGTAAGGAATCATCCCAAGCAACCGCAGATCGCAGGCCAGCGGTGGCTCCTGCTGCAGTGCCTCCGGGCATTCGTACAGATCTCCGCAAGTGCTCGTAAAGATTCGCGTGTCGACATCGAGGGCTTGTAATTCCACTTGCAAATCGGATTCCACAATATTCACGTTCTTTATGGGCGGCACCTTGAGAATCCGAACCCTTTCCTGAGTAAACGACGTGTGGTACATGCAGATGGCGCCCACTAGAGGTGGCCAGTAGCGTGGCGGCTCCTTGTGCCGCATCAGCTGCATGCGCATCTCCTGCACCGCCGGATAGGGCAGCTCCTGCCAGTTGCCCGGCTGCTCCAGCGGCAAATGTTCCAGCAGGCGGACGCAAAGGTGCGTGGGCGAGTAGACCTGCACCAGTTGAAGCTTTACATCTCCGCTGGTGGGCAGATGACTATCTGGTCCATCGAACTTACCCACATGATGGCGTTCCACGCAGCAGGGATCGTAGCACTGGCCCAGCCTTAAAATCTGGCTGCACAGGCTGCTCCGATTGCAGCACTTGGCCTGGGCCAGCTCCTTGCGTATCCGCTTGGCCAGGGAAAGGATGGTGGGATCCACCTCCTGGTGCAGCTGCAGGAAGTCCACCAGACGCGGCAGCTCCCGGTGGTTGTTGTCGTCGAGGAGTACTAAAGAATGCAGAGGAGCAGCCTTCCTTTCCGCCAAAGTATTTCCCAGATTATCAGCCACCATGAGGTGACGCATCTTGAACTTGCTCCACGACGTGCTCATGCTAAAGTGGATCAAGCTATGCGCATTCCGGATGATCAGCTCCGGGCAGTCGTCCGTGCAGAGGAGGATTACACCGCCTCCCCTTTTGGCGGCCTGCCAGCGATGCAGCTCCTCGCGAACCTGGAGATCTGACGTCTGATAGTAGGGCAGGCAGTTGTAGCCCCGATCCTCGAGAGCTGCCACCAGGCGCTGCATGTCCCCATCGTCGCTGCAGAAGATCACCGTGCGGTTGGCCTCCGGCGGACACTCCAGCAGCATTTGCAGCACTCCATTCACCTTGGCGGCCGCGCGGAGCAGCGAGATCCTTATGCGAGTGCCGCCGTACAGAGCGGCCTCCAGTATATCACCAAAAATTAGAGCCGGGTGATCATTGACCGCCTTTAGCTTAACCATAAGCTCGGGATTATACGACTGGGAGACCATCACCCGCTGCGGCGAGTGGCTGAGCGGCAGAATCTCGGCGAGAACCTGCTCGGCATTGGCCAACTGCTCCTGGGACATCAAATCCACGTCGTCGTAGACCACAAACTGCAGGCAGGGGAAGCGCATGAGGCCAGGAGCTTCATGGTAGAACCAATTCAGCTGGGTTGGAGTAACCACCAGGCAGCCGACGCCGTTGAGCAGCCGCTGAAAGAACTCCGAGCTCCTGGTGGAGGGAACATTCAGGGTCAGCGTCAGCCAATCCTCCTTGTGCGCCTTGCGCAGCAGGGCGTGGCACATGGCGCTCACCTGGCGGACGCGCCGAAGATCGGGCACCAGGATGAGAGCCCTAGGACCGTACTGATTGGGTGGCCAATCCCCCGGCAGGCTCCTAATCTCGGCCAGCGCCTTGCAAACGGCATGGCAAACAACTGGCACGTAGGCGAAAGTGCGTCCACTGCCAGGAGCACCCACAATCATGGCTCCATGGCCAGCTCCTCCGGCCAAATGGGGCCACGTGTAGCTCTGCAGGCGGAGCAGCCGGTTGAGGCCCAGCTTCCGCATCATCTCCAGGATGTGAGGGAGCAGGGAGACCTCCCCGAACCGGCGAACCGGATGCAGTTCGCACCTGGCGTGGGCCACCACATATTCGGAGCAGTTGGTGGCCACCAGTGGCCGGATGGCGTCCTGCCTGCTGTACGCGTCGCCCACCTCGTAGTCCTTCGTGCCGCTGCTCCTGCTGCTCCTGCTCGACGTGGAGGAGCTGGAGCCGGTGCTCCAGGTCTGATCGAAGTTCTCCATAATCTCCGCCAGCTTTTCGTCGCTGAGGTTCAGCATTTTTGAACTGGAAAATGGGTAAAAGATTCGTTCTAGAAAATCAGCCTGGAAGCTGGAGGCCTGCTATCGATATCGATAAGCTTTCAAATATCTTTTGAGGCAATCGAAAGTGCAGTTGCACCGGGAAATATATATATAAAAATAAAAAAATGTCTAATTAAAAAAAAAAGTAATACTTTCTACCAAGTAATAATTTCATTTTTTTTTTCTTGTTCAAATAAGCTTGCTATTCGAACTCAATGTGACTAGTGCTTAACACATATAAGTGTAAACTTTCTGCGCTAGGATAATAATATTAATAATAAATAATAATAAAAATAGATAAATTAAATTAAAATGGAAAGTGTTTTACCAAATTAATTTAAAATAAAAGCTTTTTTGTAGTCTTTCAAAGTGCCGTTTTATTTATTTTTGATGCTAACCAAAAATTATTTTCAGTGTACGCCGATAGATCGATAAATAGTGCACGTGGCAGGAAAGCTAACTGTTAAACCGCCAATCGTTGATCGAGTTTTACAGGTTTTACAAGTTTTTCTAGATTTCTAATTGCTCTCAAGGATTCGAGAGCCAGTGCGGCCACTCCTGGATCTCGTTGTACAGCGTTAGTCCGGGACTCTGGGTGCTGATCACCTGGGAGCCCGCGATCAGGGCGTAATCCTCGCTCAGCTCCCCCTGCTGGACGCCGCAGGCCAGGAGACTCTTGGCCGCCTGCAGAGCGGCGTCCGTTGGAAGTTTATCTGCCGGGAATCGAGGTTATATAGTGCTTAACCTGGAAGATGGAGCAGGAGCCGAACTTACCCACAAAGTTACCGATAAAGGCGATTCCCGTGCCGTTGCCATTGTAGCCGTAGGTGTGGGCTCCCCGCAGTCCCCAGCCGGTGCCCTCGTAAACGATGCCATCGCTGCCGATCAGGAAGCTAAAAGAGATCACCGGTTAGGTAGGTTCCATTAGTATTGGTATTACTAGAACCCTGGCCTATAAACTTAAAATGTTGCATTCGCTTTCTGGGAAATACCTATTTATCACCCTTGTACTTTGAAAAACTTTCTGAAACCAGAAATCTGAGTGATATTGTAAGTAAATGTAAGCCCATAAGATCGTACTATATCATATCATATATCTTTATGTGTAGATCTTACTATATTATGTCATATATCTTTATATATGTAGGTCGGTCTATATCATATCATATATTATTATTTGTAGATTATTATTATTATTACTATTATTATTATTATTACTATTATTATTAGATCCCTGGCCTATAAACCAAACCTATAAACTTAAAATATTGCATTCGGTTTCTAGGAAATACCAATTTATCACCCTTGTACTTTGAAAAACTTTTAGAAACCAGAAATCGGAGTGATATAGTAATTAAATGTAACCCTATAAATGTAAATGTAGATTGTACTATATGATATCACTATATTATATCATATATCTTTTTATGTAGATCTCACTATATCACTCACTTGTAACTGATATCATTGTAATCCAGCTCGTTCTGATGATAGCTCTGCATGTTCTGCAGGATCTCGGCGCACTTGAGCAGTCCGCTGCACTCGCTGGTGACCGTGTGATGGATGACCACAAAGCGGATGGGACGCACTTGGTAGTGGAGGCCCAGCGATGGCTTGCCGCCCCATTGGCGTTTCAGCTTGATGGTCGGACAATTGGCAGCGGCTTGATGACGCGGCTTTCCGGCGGAGACGGCCACAGAGATTACCAGAAGCCCCAGAAGCGTAAGCAAGCGAGCGGGAAACATGGTGTGCTAAGATCTAATGCCGGATGAGAACTGCTCTCGGTGGCTTATCACTCGGATTTATTTGTATCACCGCCGGCGATCCGAGCTTTTGCGATTTATTGCAGAGCTTACGATCCCCACAGGGGACTCCCTGACCATCTCCCGATCTCATTAAGATCGTTCGATCCCAGCGTTCTTTGTTCGGTTCTTTTTTTTCCGTACCCACCTTCAAAGAGCGACAAGCAAAAAGTCCAAACAACCATTTAAAACAGGTTGCAAACCGATCTGTGTTGGCATTTCCGATCTCCAGATAGTGACGAATGCTTACCCAGAAGTAATAAAGGGTTTATGGATTTACGTATTACTTATAATCAACTTTAAGTCACAGATTAGCTTAGAGTCTTGGAAACAGTCCACTGATAACGGGCACTGAGAGCTTACAGCATCTTTTTCATAGAAGTAATCAACACTACAGTGTTTGAGAATATACGCAGCTTTTACGATTCGGGAACTCGTGCTAATCACGAATTATTTCAAGTTTCGGAATCATACTTTACCGACGTGAGTACGAAAAACTTTAAGTTAGGATCTTTTTTGAAATCCTGTAGTTACCTTAAGTTCCATTCGGTTGGCAGATCTTAATTATAAGGAAGAAACATATATCCTTTTTTAAATATAAAAAAAATAACTTTAATTTAGACTATACAAAAAATCAAGCTAAGAATATAAAATAGAAATAAGGGGAGTTAATTTTTTTTTAAATCCTTAACCTTAATAGTAAGATTATAACATGTCCTTAAAAGCAAAATAACCGAAAGAAACGTAATATATCAAACAATTACCCTTGTACCAAGCAAATGCACTTTGATTTACCCTTTATCTACCCCAAAACCCACTCATTTCTATAAAAACATATATAGAAACACGACTTGCATGCCGACATGTCGAACATTCATTCAAACAGTGATTAATGGAATTTATAAAATGAGAACCTAAAGTGCTAATGTGCCCCTTTTGTGGTTAATGGATAAAGAAAAGCGTATGCCTTCCTAAAATGGAAGATAAAGGTGCGTTTTTAAGGTAGGCTACATTTGTTTTGTTTATGCGAAAGGCTATTACATTTTTAGGTCAAAGACATGAAAGTAATTTTGATTTCATATAATGTATTATTTTTTTTTGAATTTCTTGAATAGAAATCCTGAAAAATATTTCTAAAAATCCGAAGGATATTATTGATATTATTTGATTGACTAATTTAACTAATTTGATATTTTATTTTAGGTAAACGGTCTCAAGCTACAATAGTCTGCATAGGATGGAGCCTCCAGCAAGATGAATAATTTCCGGAGAAGATGTACAATTATTGTACAAAAAAGCTAATATTTGACCCTCATCCGGGAGGCGTCGTTCTGATGTTCTGATGTCTCTATGCTACTATAAATTGCCCATTACTCATGGTGAGTATTTGCATGCCTTAAGGTTCTCCTCCGAAGGCGATCCGCATTGCTCAAGCATTACGCTCTGCCTTTTCGCTCGCTGTGTTTTATTGGTGTTATTGATAAAAGCTGTTTGGCTGATAACTACTGCCACCCACTGGGGTTTTGCTTCCCGACGGCATCTCCACTGGCGCTGCATTACTCATCGACCGCTCTCAAAATTTCAATGGTACACGGCAAAAAGAAAGAACTATTTTAAAAAGATATCTTTAAGTATGATGTTTAAAGCTGAATTTACATTGAGGTTTAAATGAGGTTTGATTAGATAATATAGATAGAAAAATAATTAGAAACAGATAATTAGTATCCATTACTACAGAAAATATATATTATATTTTAAAAAAGAATGTAAACTAGGATTTTTTAAAGTTGTATTTGTTTTAAAACTAATTTCTTAAGAAACAGATAATTACTATCCTTTACTACAGAAAATATCAATTATAATCTAAAATTCCCTACACAATATTTCATTTTCAAATATGTTCTGAAAATACAACAATTATGAGGTGTATTTGAAAATATATATCTTAAATACATTTTAATAATAGTGATAAAATATTTATTCTCTATAAATACCTATTTAAAATGAAATTCAGGTCAAGAATTTCATTTGACTTAGTAATAATAGTAATAAATTATGTTACTTACCAAAACTTTTCAAATTCAACACTAACTCATATTTATTTCTTGCAGTGCACTCTCTTTCGCCTTCACCCACTCTATGCACTCTCCACTCAGGTGGCGCTGAGTCAGAGGAAAAGTTTGTTGAGCTTTGATGGTCCGCAACAAACACAGCGACTGCGACTAGCAAGTTTAATTCCTTTCTTTTTAATTGCCAATCGGAGGGCGGCTAGTGAACAGTGTCAGGGGGGCGTGGCCGGGGCCTAGTTGCACTTGAAGATTACAAATATTAAGGTTGGTCGCTCGGCCGCACTGCCGCTCACACGATGACATCATGACGTCAGGCGTCATTTATACCGCGTTAGCCTAGCCAGCCAGTCAATTCATTGCGGCCGCCGCCTTTCGGTGAGCACAACTTGTTGGCGTTGGCTGAATTGCCTTGCGGATACCCTGCACTGGACCGGGAGGCATCGACTGGGTCAAGGTGAGTGTGGTTGATAGAAAAATATAACTCTTTTGAGAACTACAGAACTACTAGAACTACAGTTTAAATATGAAAGCCTAGTTAAACCTCATTTTTATACAAATGTTGCCTTCAAGAATACCCTGTATTGTCCTTCATACTTTTGGTTTAGTAATTTTAGATATTTTTACCTAAATAAATTATAATCTTAGATCTTATTTCTGGTTATAATATAGCATAAGGTATATTTTATTGAAGAATTATTTATAATATTTTTTTTTTAAATATTATAGAATTTTTTGTTGTAGCAATAATGAGATATTATTCTTTTAATAGCTTAAACAGTTTTTTCAGATTATGTTTTTTATGAGTGTGTTATTAGAAGCTCAACTTTTTGCTAATAATGATAATGATATATTATAAAAATCAATACAAATTTTTTTAAGTACCTACTGTATTGCTTTGTAGTTGAATTACTGAAATATTATTTTTTTAGTAGCTCAAAAAGTGTTTTTAAATTATGTTTTTTATGAGTCTGTAATTAGAAACTCTACTTTTTGTTAATAATAATATATTATAAAAATCAAGACATATTTTTTTAAATACTATGTGCCTTTGTTGTAGGATTAACTAAATATTTTTTTTTTAATACCTCAAAAAGAATTTTTTTTGATGATGGTTTTAAGAGTCTGTGATAAGATGCTATACTTTTTCATAATAATAATCCAGAAGGGCAACAGATAAATACTTTCAGCTAATTTTGAAAGGCGATTTGAGGGATTTCTGGCTTTGGGGGATTCCCTCGAAATTCGGTAGCTTTCCAGGGCATCCGCTGGGTCGGGACGCAGTTAATCCGTCTGGAAGCCGAAGCCTTCTGCCACCTCTTGTTTTGTTTTCGCTCGCAGCTGCGTCGACTGCGACGCAGAAATTGAAGCAGAAGCCGAAGCAAATGCTTTTATTTTTCAGTTTCAGTTTCGATTTCAGTTTCGTTAGCAACGTGCGCGCGAAAAGACGCAAAAGTCGAAAAGTGCGAGGAAATCCAAAAAAAAAACCAGTTGGCCCCCGAGTCCTACGCCGAATTTTGAGAAAAGTAAGAGTAAGATCTAAGATCCGCACCGAAAGCTATATAGATATATAGGGGATAGGTACACAAAAATCATTTTGCTGGGACTATACATATTTTTTGTTATTTTGTATTTTTTTTTGTATATTCTCGCAACGCGTCGAGGAATTCGAATTTTCAGTACTTTGGCTGTGCAATAAAATGCTGTTATTTATTCCTACAAGTATTTTCACTGTTTGGCCATTAAACTGCATTATTATTGGCGGCGATGATATCATATCATTTCCAGCGGTCGAAAATGCGAAGCGAATGCGAATCGTGTTTGCTGGCGAATGCGAATGCAGCAGGGAAAAATATTTCTTATCAGCTTAGTTCGTTTCTTTTTCTAAATTGATTGGATGTTGTCAATAGTTAAGAGTTAGGAGCGGTATTTTTCATCTTTTTCTTCTATATATAAGGGCCCAAAACAACCTGTTGCCCCAGTTGGTTAGCATACAAATTGTAGTCATGATATGGCTATGATATCATTTCATTCTTCAGCGGAAATCCGCCGCCTAATCACCATTCAAAATGTTTTTTTTTTATTTTTGTTTTATTCTATTTTTTTTTTAAATAAATATCGCACATGGTTCTTGTTATTTTTCGGTTTTGTTTTGTGTTTTGATTTTGGTTTCGGTTTTACGCTTCGGAATTGGGGCCACACCCCCTGCCATCGGGCTACCGCTTCTGTGAATTTTGATGAGCATCATCATCATCGGCATTGTCTGTAAGTTGTAGTTATTGCGTCACCGATGGCGTCATCGTACCGACTTGACTAATGCGTCGTCGATTTTGAGGAAGGTCTGAATTCGGAATTCTAAAATTCAACCCTTATACGAAATCCCATTGAAACTTGTAAAGCACGTTCGGTTTTTAGGTTTTGCTTTTCAAAGCAACACAAAATATATTCTAAAAAATAAAAGTCCAAAAGTATATTTTTTAGTGTAAATTGTTTAAAAATCCTAATATTTCTATAAAAAAAAAGTTGAACAATGTTTCAAAAACACCTTTTTTCAAATCCAAATAAATGTATTATTTAAAGGTTTCTAAGCTCATAGAATAGGTATTAAATTTCTTTCATTTCAACTTGTTAGCACGTTGATAAACTCGTTTCATTTGTTTATCCACCATGTTTTCGGCTTGAATGGTAAACAAATGGGACACAGAATAAAGTCTTTATCAAAATTCAGATTCAGAATTCGCAAATCAATCAATTCGAACAGAGAAATGATTTTGCGAATATATTCTCCATTAAAAATTAAACCTCCACCCACGGCATCTGTATACTTTAAGTGTGTGCCCCAATTTCGGGTTCGCTTCGGGTTTTCTCAGCTTTTCTCAGCTTTTCCAACTAAAACAGCAGGCAGCAGACCATAAAGTTCATGACGTTTCGGCATATATATATGTTTTGTACTTATATACGGGGTATACATCTCTGACCATCTCCATTCTCCTAGGCGAGCATATACATATATATTTTGTTCTCTGCCGATCCCCAAAAAAGGGGGGACTTGTTTGAAGGGGGGCGGTGGGCGGTCGTCGGTCAAGTAAATATATTTTCCCATTTTCCGATGCTTCAATAACGATGCTTTTGGCGCTTTTTCGCCTGCCCAAGTTTCATTCGCTCGCTCGCGAGGCCGGCATTGAAAATTGTTTTAAAATTAGACAAAAACCAAAAATCCAAAACAAAAACAGCAACAAATAGATGGCCAAAAATACACAAACATTGTACGGATACTGTGCAGATCGATGGGCGTGGCAAGGGCGTTCGATTTGTAACAGCTGGGCAAAAGGGAGGAGGGGGAAAAAAAGCAGGCCATATAAATTACGATATTGGAAGATCTGGGCAAAAATATTTACTTATCATGGAACGAAAACATGTAAAACATTTTGAGTGAATCACTAACAAAAAATACTCATCTGATTTATTGAGGTTTTTTTTTGTTTTTACAAAAATACATGACAAATGTAGCAATTACTAACATTTCAAGATTAACAAACATTCATTTTTACATCATTAAAATAAAATCATTAAAAAAAATATAAATATTAAATGAAGATTAGAAAATATCTATAATTTATTGTTTTTACAAAAATGTGTGACAAATGTAGCAATTACTAACATTTCAAGATTGACAAACATTAATTTTTACATCATTAAAAGAAAGTCATTAAAGAACATTTAAATATTAAATAAAGACTAGAAAATATCTAAAACAGCTACTGCAACTTTACCAATATTTTTAACCACGTGTGTTTCTAATTTTCAGACCCCACCTTTAAGTCCCCGAAGAGAACCACCGAAACCAAGCCAACATGTCGCACTCAGTGACCATTACCCGCACCACCACCAGCACCACCAACACCTCCTACATCGTCCTGAACACGGGATATTTGAAGACCTTCCCCGGAATTCTCAAGCTCTTCGAGCTGGTGAGTTAATACTTCGTAAATCACCTTGAGTTAAATGTTTAAATGGTTTTGTTTTTACTCAGATCATTGGTGCCGCCATTGTGGGAATTCTTGCGTACAACTTCAATGACTACCATGGTTATTTCCGCAAGCAGGAGGATCTGTTCCATTACCTTATGGGCGTCACCTTTATGATAGGGACGTTCTGCTTACTCCTCGCTTGTCTCACCTCGCTGAGCACGGGAGGAATTATTGCCAAGACAATCTATGTGAGTATTTTTCATTATTCGAAAATCATTATAGGAAGTTTTACTAAAAATAAGTGTTTTTTTGCTGTTACTTGGGCAATAATGATCCCAAATCAAAAAGTCTGACGGTTTTAAGTAGTTAACGACCTGGACTAACGATCCCTATTACTTTCTGAAAAATTTATTTTTTGAAAAATTTTCGCATTTTTGAAAAGGGGTAACATCACAATTTTTTGAAAAAAATGACAAAATTTTAAAATTTCTAAGTTTGACTGCCAATTGATTAGGAATTAAATAACAAGTTCAACGAGGTACGACTTTCCATATTTGGATCATTATTTCCATAGTTACGGCCAAAAAACTGATATTTTAGGGAGGAAATTGTAGATTAGAATTTTCGACGAAAAGTACACTTTTTTTAATGGTTTTTTAGTCGTAGCTTGGACAATTAAAGGCCCACATCAAAAAGACCAACAGTTGTGAACATCTAACGACCCATACTATCGAATCCCATCACTTTTTGGGAAATTAATTTTTTAATAAATTTTCGCATTTTTGATAAGGGGTAACATCACAATTTTTTGCAAAAATTAAAAAATTTGAAAATTTCTAGGTTTGAATGCCAATCGATTAGGAATTAAATAACGAGTTCAACGAGGTACGACATTCCATATTTGGATCATTATTTCCATTATTATGGCCAAAATACTGATATTTTAGGATGGAAATTATAGATTCGAATTTTCGACGAAATCAACCTTTTTTGTATGGTTTTTTAGTCGTAGCTTGGACAATTCAAGGCCTACAGCTAAAAGACCGACTGTTTTAAACAGATAACGACCTATACTAACGAATCCCATCACTTTAAGGGAAATTTATTTTTTGATAAATTTTCGCATTTTTGATAAGGGGTAACATCACAATTTTTAGCGAAAAATTACAAAATTTGAAAATTTCTAGGTTTGAATGCCAATCGATTAAGAATTAAATAACGAGTTCAACGAGGTACGACATTCCATATTTGGATCATTATTTCCATTTTAATGACCAAAAAACTGATATTTTAGGGAGGGAATTGTGGATTAGAATTTTCGACGAAAATAATCAAGAAAAATACTTACTACTTGCAACAGATACTTTAAGATTACAACTTTACTTATTCTTACTATTATGCTTGCAGGAGCTGATCTACCACAGCGTGGCCGCCATCCTGATCCTGGCGTCGTCCACCTTCCTGCTGATCAAGATACGAAATACGAATATTCCCGATTCCTTCATGGTGGCCGGAATTTTGGGCCTGGTCAACGCGGTACTGTACTTCATCAGCGCCTTCCTGGCCCACCGATCCTACCGCGGCATTTAAGCACTAACCAACCACCAAACCCACCGCCCACTCGGCAATCCCCCAGCCACTCAGCGAGTGTTCAAGTGGAATCTGCAATCTCGAAGCATTTGTTCTTCCCACATCTAACCATCGGCCATACGGAGGGACAGGACCACCAGGGATAGATATAGATGTACAGAAAGTGGGTGCCAAGCTGCGAAATTATTGTTGTACTGTGAAACGTTCTTTGGCGCTAGTTACACTTACTTATACTTTTACTTTTACCGATATACACAAGTTTTTTTTGTCTCACTTTCTTTTATACCAAACAACAGATTGTCATGTAATCGAATAAAGATGTGTGTCTATATGTTTTTCTAGAAATTTGTTTCAGTATTTTGGAGTGTGTGTATTTTTAATTATTCATTATTATTCATAATTCTTTTCGGAAGTGTAGCATACTTTCGGGACGAAAAAAAAATCCTTTTTTTATGGTTTTTTAGTCGTAGTATTGACAATTTAAGGCCTACAGCCAAAAGACCGACTGTTTTGAACAGCTAACGACCTATACTAACGATCCCCATCACTTTTAGGGAAATTTATTTTTTGATAAATTTTCGCATTTTTGATAAGGGGTAACATCACAATTTTTTCAAAAAATTAAAAAAATTGAAAATTTCTAGGTTTGAATGCCAATTAATTAGGAATTAAATAACGAGTTCAACGAGGTACGACATTCCATATTTGGATCATTATTTCCATTATTATGGCCAAAAAACTGATATTTTAGGGTGGAAAATATGGATTCCAATTTTCGACGAAAATAATCATTTTTGTATGGTTTTTTAGTCGTAGCTTGGACAATTCAAGTCCTACAGCCAAAAGACCAACTGTTTTGAACAGCTTACGACCTATACTAACGAATCCCATCACTTTCAGGGAAATTTATTTTTTGAAAAATTTTCGCATTTTTGATAAGGGGTAAGGTGATTAGGAATTAAATCACGATTTTTTGTGAAAAGCGACAAAATTTGAAAATTTCTAAGTTTGAATGCAAATCGATTAGGAATTAAATAACGAGTTCAACGAGGTACGACATTCCATATTTGGATCATTATTTCGATAGTTACGACCAAAAAACTGATATTTTAGGGAGGAAATTGTGGATTTGAATTTTCGCCGAAAACAACATTTTTTGTATGGTTTTTTGGTCGTAGCTTGGACAATTCAAGGCCTACAGCTAAAAGACCGACAGTTTTGAACAGCTAACGACCCATACTAACGAATCCCATCACTTTTTGGAAAATTTATTTTTTGATACATTTTCGCATTTTTGATAAGGGGTAACATCACAATTTTTTGAAAAAAATGACAAAATTTGAAAATTTCTAAGTTTGAATGCCAATCGATTAGGAATTAAATAACGAGTTCAACGAGGTATAACACTCCATATTTGGATCATTATTTTCTTTAATATGGCCAAAATAATGATTTTTTGTAAAAAGACAGCAATTCCCTTTTCCCAAAAAAAGTGTTGCATACTTTTGGCCTTACCATAAATGTTAACAGCTGTAAGCGTGCTGTTAATTTTAACCCGTGTTGTCTACAGAATGGAATTGAATTTATAGTACAATGATAAATCCATATTTTAGCCACGTTTTAGCCCCTAAATAGATACAATAAACTTTTATAATTTTTATGGTTTTTATTGAATATATTTTAAATTAGTTATCTATAAAATAATTACTATATATAATATAATATATAATAGAATTTGCATCTTTGTTTGTCTCCTCTCATAGAAATAGATTCTCTAAACACAAAAAATCAATTGAAATTACTAATAATTAAAACACACTTATCGTTCCATCTGGCGCAGCTTTTTTTTTTATTATATGTTGGTGGCCGAAAAGCCCTCTCGCCTTTAACTACTAATGTACATCATACAGTAAACACAAATAAGTGGTTTAGGTGTATTAAAAAAAAAATCATAGTAATTAAGAGAAGTACACGCAAGTATTAAATATAAAAGAAAAGGGTAATCGATTACGATAAATTAAGCATTTTTCTTTAACAATTAACTGAACCTCCATCGAACGTTTTGCCTAATAAATACAACTGTCTCGTATATCAAGCTTTAAGATATGATATTATCGAAAAAAAAAGAATTACATTTAATTATACGCGCTGCTGGCTGCACTTTGCATTCTGCATTCCGCTTGCTGGAAATATATACAAAAACCGACTTAAAACGAGGAGAACTGGGGAAGCTGGGACCTGGAAATGGATCTGGATTGGGATCTTGGATATGGTAGATGGATATATGGGACCTACGTGAGTTTCTTCTAAGTAATGTTATGTATTCTAGGCAACATTTATGCAACGATTTGAACGATTGAACGATTGAACACACACATAGAGACACACGATTAACAATTTTGCTTGGCTTGTAACATTCTCTAAATTCTCCGCATCATCTTCTTTATCCTCCCATCTGATCCTCATCCTCTAGGCGAATAACACTGTACGCTATATGATTGATAATCATCTGATTGATGCACTGATTGGCCGATTAACAAACGCTCTCTACTACATCATAACCAATAACACCAATGGCGGGCTGCTCTCTCTCTCAACTTTCAACTCTTCCCTATTTTTTGGTACATATATATGCTGTGTAAAGTCTATATGTTTAATGCATATGTTGTATATAGATAATGTATATAGTTTGTATAATTTATGCTAGGCCAAAGGGCTTACTTGTCTGCCTTGTGGGCCGTAAAATTGACATTATATATTCGTTGAAACAATGAACTCTCTATTTCCCGCTTTCTCGTCTCGAACTTTTCTTCCTTATATTCTTTTTTTTTGTGTTTTCCTCTAAACGCATAACAAACATGGATGATATGTCTACCAAAAATTCCTTTGAAATCAGCTTACTTTCCTACTCTACTAACTGTGTTCGATCCTCGCATCTCTCATCTTTCATCTCTTTCGTTTTGCTTAATTTTCCCTTCTTCTCGTGACTTTAGCTAAGTTGTTTTTCGTTTTTCTAGTGTGTGTTTGGGGGATGCTGAAACGGTTGCCCTCGAGAATCAGATCTTTTTGGGTAGTTATAATCCACAGAAATAAAAAAAAACATTCGATTGGCAACCGCATGGGACTCCTAACATTAACTAAACTAAGCTCAAATCAAAATCAATGCATCATCATCCTCGTCGTCGTCTGGCTGATGATGATTCCCTCCTCTCCACTTGCGTTTCCATTTCGACAACCATCTCCATCTACCGCTGCAGCACCAATTCCAGTTCCAAATCCCATTTGCGATGCCATTACTCCATCTATATGATCCAATTCCATTTCCATAGCCATAGCTCCTCAAATCGCTAGTGATCCTGCAGCTAGGTGATTGCTCGGCAGCCATGGCAGCTGGTGGTTACATGCAGCACAGAAAGCGATGAAAGAAACTTTTGGCATTGCGGCTAGCCCGGCTGACCCGGCTGGCCCTTAGCTAACAGATGATACCCTGATCCAAGCTCAAGTTGTTGGTGGCGGCCACGGCGGCGGCATTCTTGGCCGCAATCACCACATGATGGTGGTGATGATGGTGATGGTGGTGCATGTGATGGTGGTGCAGATGGTGGGCATTTGTCTTCCCTGAGTTGCTCCCGCTGCTGGAGGAGGTGGCTGTGGCTGTTCCTGCTCCATTGCTGGCCAATCGCTGGCTGTGGATCAACAGAGTGGCGGTGCTTTGGGTTGTGGGACTGCTGCCTGGACTGGGACTTGGACTTTGACTCGAAATCGGACTCGATATCTGCTTCTTGTAGACCGTCGTCAGCGGCTCCGATGCCCGACGATTGCTGTTCATCCTCGTCGTTGTCGTCGTTGTGGTTGGCGAGCTACGAGCCACCGGTCCGCCGCTCGTCTCCTCCAGCTGAAATTTCTTGACCAGCGCCTTCACCGAGGTGGCCGAGCCATTCGTTTCGCCCGTCGGCGTCTTCCTGATCACCTTGGGCGTGGTGGGTGCATCGGGGAACAAAGTGAGCGTGGCCACCACTGTTGTGGCCTCCTCGCCCAGTTGAATGCTGGCTTGGACGGGCTTCTTCACAAACGTGGCCGTGTATGTGTTCTCCTTGTCCGAATCCGAGGCCCTTCGCGTCGGCGTCACAATCTGCGTGGGCTTGTGAACAACGTATCCATTACTGTTTCCATTACTGGTCAGCGTGTGAATGGCCGTGGTGGTCTCGCAGCTGGTGGGACTGCTCTGGAGTAGCAGCTTGCTGGTGGCGATGGGTATCTTGGAGATGCTGCCGCTGCTGTTCGCCCGATGGTGGCCATTGTGCGTCGGTTTGCTGTGGATGCTGACGGATTTGGCCAGCTGTTTTAGCTGCTGCTGTTGGGTTGCTTCTGCCGCTGGCTCCTCCACGGCCTGCTCCTCCGCCGCCGCCGCCTCCTCCTCCTCCTCCTCGACGGGCTCCTCTTCATCCACCTCCTCCTCCTCCTCGTCGTCATCCTCCTCCTCTTCCTCCTCGGCATCGCTCTGCGGCTGCAGATAGATCTGTCTGTCCAGGGAGCAGTCGTCCTTCAGCCAAATGTGCTCCAAGCAGCCGGCGGCACTCATGCGATCGCTGGAAAAAAGGTGAATAATTATTAAAATATATATAAAATTTATAAAAAATATTTAAATAATTAGTTATAATAAACAGCTGACAAAAATAATCATAAATTATTAAAAATGACACGTAGAGAAAATAGATTTAAAAGCTGGAAAAACGAATGAACAATTGAAAGCAACGAAAAGGTATAAATTCCTTAGTTATAAATCAACAAACTCTGTTAAATTCAATCTGATGACACGAATGTGGAATAAATCATATCTGCATTTTTAAATAAATAAGTAATAGTTTATAAAAAATTATTGTTTTAAAATTACATACATTATTTGATAATGATTTTATTTTACAGGCATTTATTTTATTTAGAAATGACAATATATTTATTTTAAGGTTTCTTTAAAATCCCTAATTTCTGTTTGGTTTTTACTCCCTGAAAATGACAAAACCATTATACATTTATGAACACTGATTTAGGATTTATTTTATCTAAATTTATAACCAATTTTATTTATATTTAATTTACGATTTCTTTAAATTGGGAATTATTTATTTAAATTAATAATAAATTTAATTTACGATTTCTCATAAATCCCTAATTTCTGATTAAATTAAGAACTATTTTATTTAAATGTATAATAAATTTAATTTATATTTAATTTACGATTTCTTTAAAATCTCTTATTCCTGATTGCATTTTGTTTCCTAATCCCTAAGATCAGTTTCACACTCACTTTGGCTTAATTCGCAATGCGCGACGGATGAAGTCGATGGCCACCGGCGAGACGCCGCCGAAGAGGTTGTCCGGGAAGGTGAGGGCGCACTGTGAGATGTTGAGGAAGGTCTCCTGCTTGGTGTCGCCGCCGAAGGGCGAGAATCCGGAGAGGAGGACGTAGGTGAGCACGCCCACCGACCAGATGTCCGTCAGCAGGGACAGCGGCTCGTACTGCAGCACCTCGGGGGCCACGTAGTCGGGTGTGCCAGCCATTTCCCGCACGTTGATGCCCTCGCACACCACCCGCGAGATCCCAAAGTCGCATAGTTTCAATCCATCTAATGAGGGGAAAAATTAAAAATTAGTTGGTTTATTTAGGCGTATATAATATATATTTTAATACCCACCTTCTATGCGCTCGCCGGCGAGCAGGATGTTCTGCGGCTTGAGGTCCAAATGGGCAATGGAGCGGTCGTGCAGGAACTTCAGCGCCTTGAGCACCTCCCTCATGCAGTGGCGGGCCTGCGCCTCCGTCAGGCACTCCTCGTTGTCCAGGATTGTCTGCAGCTCGCCACCAGTGGCCCTGCGAAGGATAAAAATATTTTTAATATAATGATTGCTTGCGGAAAATATTAAACAACAGTCTAGAAAACATGCGAGCTTTTTGGGGATACATTTTAAAATAAGAGTTCGACTTTTTAACCAAGAACAAATAAGCCAAAATGATTAGGAAAATTATTTTAAAAAATGTTAGACAAGAGATAGAAAAGGTTTATTAAATCTCTAAAGTCACTTCATTATAAAAGTAGAAAAACTAGAGTTCTATAGAAGAATTATTTACGAAGGACACTTTATCATACAAGATGAATAGCCGCGAATTCTTCAGAGGATTGACGTTATTCTTAAATTTACTCTAAGAATAGGATCACTAAACCAGCTTTATTTATTGATTTATTTATCTATCGCCAATGAACAAATCCTTATTTGGCTACAATTGATTAACTTAAATCTGATATTGAAAATTATTAAAAAAAATTACACCGCGAATTCTTTAGAACATTACGTGATTTTAAAGGAAAATGAGTTAGAAATTGCATTAAAATTAAAAATTAAAATAGAATGTTAAGACCCAATAATAGGTATATTTTTTGGAAAACTATATATATTATAAATAGAAAGGCTTATACAGATATTCCCCAGTACTTACAGCTCCAGCAGGAGTGCTGTGTCCGAGCGCGTCTCGTGGACGGCATTGAGGTTGACGATGTTGTCCTCGCCCTCGCAGAGCATCAGCACCGCGATCTCGTGCTTGATCTCCTTGTCGCTGCTCTGCGCCCGGCGCCTCCTCTTCAGGAACTTCGCCGCAAAGTGCGAGCCCGTGTTCTTGTGGATGGCGCGTCGAACGGCGGCGAATTTGCCCCTGTGAATGGATTGAAATGGTAGATTATTAGCCGGTGTTCTCTGTAGACCAGCCCACATAGTGCGTGCGTGAGCCAGCTTCGATAATTTTTCATTCATAACCAAAGTGGATAGTGGATTTGGGCCGAGTTGCGGAGAGGAGAAAACAAGGAACACTACGAAAATATATATATTAATACTTTAAATATTTTTTCTTTTATTTTCATTACATTTTTGGCAAAAAGCATACCATTTGCATTCGTATTACGGAAAATTTCAAACCAATTTCTAAATAAATAGGTATTTTATGCAAGTTTTCTAGTTTTCCCAGCAGTTGGCGTATTTACAGCTATATCGTTTGTCAAAATTGATTTCTTTCATATTATTTTGTATAAGAAATAAAGCCGATTATAATATAATCTTTTCTGCATATAAAAAGGAATATTCCACTCTTTTTTTTGTAGTGCACAAATCGAACAAAATGTGACTCAACGCGACGCCTTTTGACAAAGTACGTGCCATAATGAAGCAATTGCGCTTCCGGCAACAGAACAGGCAAACAACTAAACAACTAAAACAGCAACACTATTGCCAACACTTAAAGCAACAACTGGCGGAGCAGCCAGCACAGAACAGGAGCCAGGCCAAGATCGGTGGCCAGAAGAAAGAAGCTTGGTGACAAAGCTGGCATACCAAATAGTTGACCAGCTGCTTCTCCTTCTTCTCCTTGGACAACCCCCTCCCCCAACCACGCACCTCTTCCTGCCCAGAAGACGATCACGCAAGCTTCGATCAGTTAAATGGGATTGGGAATGGGAATGGTGGCTAAAAGGGAGCTATTGCGATCACAGCCAAATTCAAATACTCTAAAAATTAGGAAAACGATTATTTCTCGATTTATTAATATCGATATTATTGATATTTAGTGATTGTTATTTCGATTAATATATTTTTTTAACTCAAACTAGAGAAAAATGTAGTTCTCGATTTATTAGTATCGATATTATCGATATTTTTGGACACTATATCGTTTATTGTGCATATTCGATTGCATTAACTATTTAAGGAATGAGAAAGAAAGTAGAACGGTACAAGGGAGTATTGAATAAAAACCCAATCAAAACTTAGTTCTAGATTTATTAGTATCGATATTATCGATATTTTGTCATATTTGATTACATTAACTATTTAAGGAATGTGAAAGAAAGTAGAACGGTAAAAGGAAGTATTTTGAAAAAAAAACCCAATCAAACAAACTAATCATTGATTTTGATGGTCCATCGAAGTCACCTAGCTAATGAGCTCCTTAGGATCTCAAAGAGGCCTTTGGCTGGCTGGTCATCAATAATGAGCAGCGCTTGGCCGTCGTCGCCTTCGCTGGACTGGTTTTCTAATTGCCCCCCCTTGGCGGCGATCGCCCCGCCGTCTCTGCCTGTCAAGTTCTGTGTCTGCGTTCCGGCAGCCAAAGTTCTACCGTCCCCCCTCTTAAACATTGCCCCCCCCCTGGTAAGTTGGTAAGTTGGTAACTGTCCCTGTCTCTTTCGCTGACATTGACAGCGGACAGACGACAAGAGAAACAACAAACATTGACTTGGACTCGGGCGCTCCTGTCTTTCTACGTCTATTTGCCCTCCCGCTTTCTCCAGCTCCTCCAGTGACATTTGTCGTCTGGTCTTACAGAGAGAAAAAATCAGCAGTATGTAATTTTTTTTAACCAAGAAAAAATATTAGAATTCTAATTTAATAATTATTATTTTTAGAAACCAATTGTATTATTTTTTATAATAATAGTTCATGTTAAATTGCCTTCAATATTCCTTATTTTATTATTTTTTTCTTCCCATTTATCCATGACTAGAATTTGGGCCAGTCTACAGACTACAGCTAAACAAACAACAAAGTGTCTAGTGGTGCGGATCATAAAATAAAAGCTGTCCCGACATCAAATTGAAATATTTAAAGCCTGCTGCAGCCCCTCACCACAACTGAAAGGCAACTCAAAACATAAACATATGGAAGGAAGTCTGGCCACAACTCAATCCCGAATGGTTTCGGATTCATGTTTTTGTTTGATTTAATTAGCCAGGCGATTTGCATACGCGATGAGAATAAACAAAATGCAACAATGTTGCCTGGGAACATGGGATCAAATGGGGGGACAAGCACGCATCGTGTTCTAAATCATATGAGTCGAGTGGGGAACTTAAGGGGATTTAAAGTATGCAGTAAGTAAACTTAATCAAAGGTTAAGGTAGGGTTAATAATTATTCTAGTATAACAGGTATATGAAAATAAAGAATGGAGTAGTTAAACTTTAACAAAGGTTAAGGTACTGATTAAAATCATTCTAATACAATAGATGTATTAAAATAAAGTAAGGGTGAGTTAAACTTAACCAAAGGTTAAGGTTGAGGTTAAAAATCATTCTAATAAATTCTAAAATAATTTTTATTCTTATGTTCCTCATTTCCTTCTCCCATTCCAGGGTAAACAAACTTCCAATCATCCCCCGGCTACAAGTAGCCTCCCCGCATTACCATAAATTTTAATTAAATTACAATTTTTGCACTCCTCATCCTCACTTCCCAGCAAAAGCAACAACATTGCCTAATTGGGCAAGGTCTTTTCTGATCGTAATAAAGTTATTGCCCTCTTCTACTCTCCTTTTTGGAATTTTATCTGCTCTTCTGTTTCGGATTCGAATTCGGATTCGGTTTCTGTTTTTACTTTTGTTGCTTTTTTAGTTTTTTTTTTTTTGATTTGTCCGTTACGTAAGTCAGTCGAAATGCTTTTGGCACGACTTTTTGTATTGGATGGATTTTTGGATTTTTCTGTATTTTTTTCGATTTTTGTTTTGTTTACAGTTGGGAGATGACGAATCCGTCGGTTTGAGTCAAAGTTAAAGGGTACGAAATCGAGGAAATCGGCGTGGGCGAGGAATTCTTAGACAGCATCAAAGAAATAAAAACAGTTATGGGAAAAACTATATTATAATTTCACTAATCGAAAAATTCCACTAATGAATCTATTAATATTCTAATAAAAAAATTTAATTGTTAATAATAAAATAAATAAATAAAAAAGTTCAACTAATATTTTAGGTTTATTTATTACTATAGCTTAAAAACAATGCTTCCTTTTTTAGACAGTGAATTAAGCAATGATTTAGAATCTCCACGACTTCATAGAATCGAAAATAACATAAATTATATTTACGTACACTTTTTATTTACGCCTTTTAAATTACTATTTTGACCGCAAGTGTTTTTATTATTTTGTGGATAGTAAAAAGTGTCCAGCACTTGGTTAACTGAACTTTAAAAGGTCAAACACAATGATGATGATGATATAGAGGAAAAATGAGATGGCTATAGCCGATTTCATGGTTGATCGGTGGCGGAGAATTAAACTGGACACACCCACGCAGCTCTGCCCTTTTTTTTGGTTTTTTTTTTTTTTGTCTTTTGAAAGCTCTCGACTTAACAAAATAAATAAGTAATAAACGCTTTATAGAGAGGTCCCAAAATTTGAGTGTGAATTTTGTTCGATTTGAAGTGGGAATCGGAGAAGATTCTAAAATTGGTCAGCTTTGGCAGCTTTTTTTTTTTTGATCGCCTCAAATGATCGTCAATTGATCGGATCTACATACAAACATGGCATATTCAGCCCCCTTCTTAACCCCTTAAATGCTGATTTCTTGATCCGCCAAAAGACGAGAGACGACAAACTCAACTGGAGAGACTCTAGACTCTAAAACAAAGAGCCAAATAAGGTGGCGTTTAAAAACGCGCACAAAACGCGGCGCGTGCACGTGTCAAGATAATGCCTGCGGAGTTTAGGCAGTGGCGGGGGGTTCAAAGGGGGTTGCGAGACTTGATGATGGGGCTGCTGCTGCACCCAGAAAACAAAATGGACTAAAAAGGGGCCTAATTACCTAAAATTTTAGGAAATATGGCCAGAAAAACGCGCCAAGGCCATGCATTACCTAAAATGTTGTCCATGTGGACTATATTTTGTACGCAGTCTTGAATTTATTTCTGGTAATGGTTACCTAAAAAAATGGCTAGTGGACTAGATTTTTAGGTCAGAATTACCTAAATATTAGGTATTTAAAAAAAAGCTAGGATTTTTACTATTGATAGTAACATATTTGATTATTTTAATTGCTTATATTGTATTATTCGGAAAAGCAAATATTTTATCTTTCTGAAAAAACAATCACTTTATTTTGTCCTCGGTGGGAATCGATCCCGGGTCTTCTGCGCGTGAGTCCAATAGGCTAGCCTCTGGTCTACGGAACTACTTAAAGGCCCTGCGGCAAAACCAAAGCCTGCTTCAAGGGGCTCAGGCGAATTCTATTTTTAGAATAGGGCACTATTACCTTAAAAGTAGGAAAATAGTCCACGTAGGTATTGATTTTATATATTGAAACTTTTCCATCACTAGCTTTAAGAAAAGTCTAAAAAAATTTTTAACATTAAACTTAAAAAACCGAATAATTTGTTTATTAATATTAGGGACCAATATTTGTATTAAGTTGTGAGTGATAATCGACTTTAAATTATTCCTAAATTTTAGGTCTTATGGACCAATTTGAAGGTTACGATGGCCTATAAAAATCTCTTTAGCTTTACCTAAAAAGTAGGAACATAGTCCACATGCTAATATTTTTAGGTAACCCATTACCTAAATCTGAAATTTTAGTCTATTTAAATTTTTTAGGTCATACGTTACCTAAAAAATAGTCCCACATTTCTCTGGGTGTGATCCAAGCCCCAAAAGACTGCGCAATATTTACATTGCCCTTTTCCAGTCATTTACCACCAGGCTGAGAGATTGGAAAACAATAAGCAAAAAGCCAAGAAAATTGGGAAAATCAAACGAAAATAAACCGAAAATGTTGCGAAAGTGTTTTTTTTATAAGGTGGCGATTGAGGATCCGCAGAAAATAGTCTTAAATACTGTAAACAATGTTTGATTTATTTACTCCCTGCTTTCTGTTTTAACATTTGTGTAATTACT